AGACCCCACTCCTCCTCTAGGGTTTATGCTTAATTACTCCTTTTCATGCTCAGAATTCCTTCTTATCACTTAGTTCGTTATTTTCCTACCTTCAGATTTGACTCAGTATAGCTATTTAAAAATGCAATGTTGAGAATGGAAGTTTCTCAATGACCAACTTCATAAATTTCAAATAAAGCTGAGCAGCTGGATGAATGGAATTTCCTGAAACCTAAGAAAGTTCCCTAGATACTTGTAAACGGTTGCAGTGTTTGGTCAGTCAAACATATACAAATATTTTTACATGAGAATTGCATGATACATAATAATTGCTTCATTACATAGCATAATATAAAACTTTAGTACTGTAAAATTAAATCTGAAGAGATAAGAAAAGAGACTCTATAGGAAATGGACCAAAACTGACCTTGACCTTTGCCAAGCCTTTTTAAAACAAAACAGTGAAGTAAAATAAATGTTTTGTAAAAGTTACCAATTTCAATCTAAATTCTAGGTGGGTTTACAATATGAAAAAGAAGTCCAGAAAGAGAACAATAGCCTCTTCAAGTCTTTTTATTTCTTCTTAAATCACACCTGAACTCTGTTATAAAGATGGCTGAGATTGTATGAGAGACAGACTAATCCTTGATATTATCCTTTTTGGTCCACAGGCTGAACACAGCTATATTTTAAGCTTTGCTCCTTTTAGTTAACCTACAAATAACAGGACATTCTCCTCAGTATTTTGATCTTGTGTGAAAAATAAGCTTTTCTGAGAAAGGTGGAAAGAATCTCACAAGATGACAAAGTTGTCATAGGACAGGAAGAAAAGTAATTTTTGTAAGCTCTGGGTATTGGCTCTGTTGTGCATTATTTCTCTTCTTACTTTTTGGGGGGAAGCTGTTGTTTCTGTCACTTTTGTCTTGCACCAGGCCCTCACTCTCCGTTATTAGAGACTTTCCTTTGGCTGCTGATGTCAGGGAGCAGCAAGAATGAGGCTGTCCCACAAGGAAAGAGGAGTCAGGAGCTGAAGGTGACCACAGCACAGTGCACACATCACTGACCAGGGCACAGTCCCATAGTACCTGAACAGTGGTGGCAGTGGCAGGTTTCACTGGCAGCCCCAGAGAGAGCAAGACAATGAATCAGATGCAGAGGTCATCCAGAAGGTCCATCCTGGAGATAAGACTACAAGCAATAAGACTCAAGCATTTAATTCTCTCAGTCCAGGTTTCCTTCAGAAGCCTTTTAGCAGATCAGAAAATAAATTGTCTGCAGCAATGGTGTATGCCCTTTCGCACTGGTAGAACAAGTATTTACTTCTTGCAAATTACAGTGAAACATCTGGAAACATCTGATGTACATTGAGGTATCAGAAGATATCCTAGTAGCCTCTGCAGTTAGAATAGATTGCATTAATTGTGAAGTCTGAAGAAGACATTCAAATTTTACTAACATATAAAAGAAAGGAGTATTACATGACCTTGACTGAAAAGAAAAAAAAAGGTTTATATAATAGTGTTTGAGGGCTGTCTAAGAACTGTGTGATAAAGTTGATGTTGGCTATTCCCTATGTTTTCAAACAAATAGTTTAGACAAAATAGGAACTTTTGTACTGTATTAACCAGAGACAGGCGTGACTGGTCTGGAGATGAACAGCAAGATCCCTGCCACATGTTTCCTTTAATCTTGCAAATCAAGACAGCATCAGGATGTTGCTAAATTGGAGAAAAGCGCTTTGCTTTAAAGATGGCATTTTAGCAGACACACACAATTAGCTTCATGAATGTTTTGCTCTTTGAGGATTGTACAAAACTGTTTGCTCTTGTATTTTAAGTAATACAAAATAAAATCACATTTCAATAGATCAGAACTTAATCCTCAATGCAATACCAAAGCTTTAAAACAAGCAGTTCTGTAGCATTTATCCCATAATGCTACAACATTTAGACAGTAATTAAATCACACTAACAATGAAAGCTCCCCTATATGCTAGAGTAGTTTTCATTGCACTGTATTCTCAAAACCCTGTGGTTTCCTATGCCAGAAACAAGTTTACACACACTCTTTGCCCCCCATTTTTGTTTGCAAGCCTAGTTACTTTTTTTCCAAGTACTTTACTGTTCAACTAGGAGACTAAAAAGTGGAACTTTACGTACCTGTTATAAAGTAATTTTGAGCCATGAATGTTGCAGCCCAGACAAAAAATACTGCAGAGGTAACTCCAAAATAAGTTGCCATTGTCACCAACTCAAAAAAATTAAGAAATTCAAGGTGATTGTCTCATCTGCTAAGAAAAGCTAAGGTATTGGTGCTGTCAGATCACCTTCGAGATGACTTCAGCTGTCACCGCACTGCTTTGTGAAAAGAATGTCAGAGCAAATGTGTTGACCGTCCCACTCAAATGTGAGGTCACTTAGTGGAAATCCCTAATCCCCCTTTACGCTTTCTTTCATGTAGGGCTTGCTGGAAAATTTAACTACTGCTGACTCAGAAAACACAGCTGAGGAAGGGAGATAAGACTGTTAGACTGCTAAGTCAGTAAACACTGACAGAACTTTTTCTTTTGCTATTTTTTCCTGTTTTACTGATTAACAGCTCATTACTCATGTTGTCTATTCATCTGGTAAATAAAACAAATTCCCTATTGTATCACAGCATGCCAGGCACGAGTTTTCTTTTGGAATTGAAACGGCAACCGTTCCCTCGTATCCTACACTTCTTGATGCAGTACTTCTACCTTCCTTTACGTTAGACTTCCAATGCAAAAATAGGTACCGTAACACAGAGATAATATATCTAGTATTGAACAGATTTGGAGCTATGCTACCATAAATGGGGTTCCTGCTGCCTTTTGTGAAGTTGAAACAAATAGGGATTCCAATAGCCTCATGCAAAATACAGATGAACCTTATAGCTGTAATGGGAAACATTCAGGAAGTCTTAGCAAAGAAACTCAGATTATTTTTTTTGCAGAGATTCCAACAAACAGAGTGGGAATGGAGTTCAAGAGATCAGTTAGTTCGCTTTACTGTCAGTAGGATCAGCTGTATTTATGTTATTCCCGATGGATGTTTGTTTAACCTGTTCTTAAAGACTTCCAGTGTCAAATTCCTAATGTGTCCTCAAATGCTCTATTCCAGTGCTTCACTCTACTGTTAAAAGGTAAAGTGAGTGAAGAGGCATAAATACTTATGCCTCCACTCCCACTTTTCTTTCAACTAAGAAACCCCCACTTACTCACTCTCTCTAGCTGAGGCCTTGCCAGTACCAAGTACTGATTAATAAATTACTTTACTTGCTTATACAATTCGGAATGGTATGAGCCTTTTTTCTGCAACAGGATAATTTTGTTACATCATGTTTACATTGTGATACAGTCTAGAGGTTCTATATCCCGGTACTGTTTTCAAGGTCCTGTAAACACAAGTGTAACAGTAGCTACCTCTTTAAACTGTGGTTTGCATTGTGGAAAGTTCCTGCTTAATATATTAAGGTAGTATTAGTTTTTATATGGGCACATACCCAATCTCGTATAGCAACCTATAATATGGTTATGGGTATACTAATAATCTAGACAGGCATCTACAGGGACCAGTGGAGAATGCTGTGGATTAATGAAATGGTGTCTTCTTGAGCAATAATAAATGAAAATTGGATTGTGTTTGGGCTGCAGTTTGGAACTGAATGGTGATGAAGCTCCTTGAGGTCTTAAGACAAATTTCTTGCTACAATTTCTAGTCACTCCTTTATTGTGTTGTACTTACCTGCCTCTACAAAGTGATGGCAATCTGAAATACTGTAATCAGACTTACACTCATTGAAGCAGGTTCTAGGTGGATTCACTTGCATTTACAATATAGGAACAGAAACTAATAGTTATTCTGTGGCTGTCATAAACTACTAGGTGGTGTTTGTAAAACACTGAGAACATTAAACAAAGTCTTACCATCTCCATGCTTACCTAGAACTGCTAAGTATTTCCTACCATAAAATAAAAAGCTGGGTCCTACCATGTTTTAACACTTTTTTGCCTATTATCCTTACTGTTGCAAAGTTCCTTTAGTCAAATTCTATCCATGCTATTGGTGTTTAGTAGTCTTTTTAGCTGCAAAAATGAGATAAACACCTTTGTAATACCAAACAAAAATATAAGCTCCTTCCTGTGGATTTGTAAGAGGAAACTACAGATTAGGAGAGGGAGAAAAGAATTTCAGGATGATGAAGTGATAATAAAATTAACTTTTTTTTTTATTTTGTCCAGTTTATTTTTTATATTTCAGCTGTTCCAAAACTGTGTGGAAGAATCAGCTATCTAGACTGTAAAAGTACAAAGGGTTTTTAACCTGTTTGTAGGTCTTCATCATAACTTGAATGATGAAAAAAAGATAATTAAACATTCAGTATAAGGCTGTAATTGACCTCAATACTTAGAGTAAACTGTAAGGAAAATTCCCAACATCTTGTGTCAGCATGTTTTAAAATGCTGATGAGGGCTGCTAAACAGAAAAGATTCTGAAGTGACATTTCTATTCTTTCTGGGAATAGATAGCATTTTCTCCTTCCCTCAGGTATGGCCGTTCAGCTCCCCACAAAGCCCAGGCTTCCCAGACCTCTCAAGCCTACAAGAAGATAAAGTAAAGAATCCTAATCTTTCACTCAGTCTCTTTTGGTTACAGATTTCCCTTGTGGCTTCCCATGTTCAATCTCCTCAGTGAAAGGCAGCATCCCTCAGAAGCAGGAGTTAAACTCTCTCCAGGATATTTCAGTTTCTTCTCTCATCTTTCTAGGGCATGACAGGGATGACCCTGCATACACTTTCTCTATTGAAACAGGAGTTTGCTTGCTTTGTCTACATAATTTTCCTGAAGAACTGAAAGACTAAGAACAAGATCTTTGCTGTGTGTACCATGGCACTACACTATGCAGTAAAGACAAGGCAGTATGTATTTCATAAAAAGATAGCCATTAATATGCAGAGTGCATGTAAAAACCCAAATCTTTAAAGCAGCAACACTGAGGACTTTGAAACCATACTTTTATTTCAAAACTCAAGTATGTGATACTATACAGTACAATACCAGCACACTTGTGCAAAATCTTACAATAGTACAAATTTAAATATGATACACAAAAATAGTGCCCTTTTAAATTCCTTTTACTAGAAACATATGTGCTGTGCAGGAAAAACAATAAACGTGTCTTGATAAAGCAGAAAAATAAATATTGCACCTCAAGAAAACTATTTCAGTGTTAATAGCATAAATAATAGATCTATTTCTTGTTATTTGATGTGATCTTTCAACACAGAAGAGATTGGTTTGTTGGGTTTTTTTTCCAGATAAAGAAAACTAATATCCAACAGATAAAATCACACTTAGAATAGTTTTTGAGCTCAATCTAGTTTCTTATTAAAAAAGTGTCTTCATTAACTAACTGAAAAAAATAAGCAAAAGTATTTAACGTGCTATTAGTCATTGTGGTTCATTATTTTTAGTGGACAGTTTGCTCAAAGTAGTTATAAAAAGAACAACCTTTTGTTTTTTTTATAAAAAAAAATTATCTTCATCTTTTCATCCCTATTAAAATCTCCTGACTCTTTCAGTACATTCCCCACAACTAATAACTTTGTGAATAAATTATACTTGCCTTAGACATGCAAGTAGTTCAGTTCACACCAGTACAACTACTTATAGAAATCTGCCTTTGTGCATTAAGTCCACAAAAAGTGTGATGTATTTCAAGATGGGATGGAGACCTTATTCATCCACTGACCAAAAAAACCTTAGCACATACTTAACATGAAGCAGTTCAAGTGTCCTGTTGATATCAATAACTTTCTACATTTCTTTACAATAATGTGTTGGACCCATATCAATGGAGATGTAAATCAGAGCAAATTAATTTAATTATAGGTACTGTTAATTATTTTTACTCATTGTAGTTCAACATTTCCGCAATCATAGTCAAATTTGCATCATAGTTTTTGGCACAGGGGATTCTGAATCTTCAGGACTATTTATGTTCAATTTTTATTGCCTTATTATCAATGCTATTTGTAAAGAATATTAAGTTAAATAAGCTGATTTTAATAAAGAAGTATTCAAAGAGAAATTGACAAGTTTCTTTAAATACTGGAAGTATTTAAAATACTGAAAGTATGTGAAATGTTGCAGTAGTTCTTCATAGTCAGATATTTTAACTGAACCAAACAGATACCAAATAATTTACAAGAAGCTGTCTTCTGTCTTATTCTTTAACAATTATAGTTTTAGACCAAATGACACTTTCCCATTATCCTTTTTGAACTTTCTTAAGCACACTCCTCAACAACATGTACTTTAAAATAAAAAACCAAACCTCCCAACTGCTTATAGACCCCAACCTCCCCCACCCAAAAAAAAAAAAAGTGATGATGATTTTTTTTTATTAAACTTGTTATTAATTTTTTTAATGGCAAAAGATGTAACAAATGAAATTCACCAGCAGGATATTTGTTACTAGTGCCAGATATATGAATTAAATTTCAGAGTTAGAAACCTGGTTTCTTTGATAGCTTGAGGTTCAGTGTTTACACTAACAAACAAGACAATAATAACTGCATCTGAACTGAAATAACAGTACTTCACAACATACTTATCCTTCAGCTGTAAACAGACTTGTTAATCAGACAGAAATTGACAGAAAAATGCAAGACACAAGTGCTATCAGGTATCAAACTGATTTTGATATTGTGGTTACATTCAAGCATATAGTTATGGAAAGACATAGTTCATCTTCAATCAGAAGTGACTGAAGTTCAGCAGGTACATATGGTATACCTTTAGTGACATGCATTTTCGTCTCAGAGCTTTGATACATTTATTTGATGGTATCGTCTGTGCCACCTAGACACAGTTTGTTGTGTATCCCATTTGAAAAAAAAAGTGGTGGTCCAATTCTTAAAGTATACCATAAAACACATTTATGCATGTACTTAGTTTTCTATTTAAATAATTATACAGATAATTGCTCCTGTAAAATAACTTTATCATCAAGGCATTTAGTCTGACAATACAACCATAACCTTCCATAGAAGAGCTTCTATTTCTACCTACCCAATAATCATGAAAAAGGAAGCAGATTAGTCTCTTGAAACCCAAAGGACTTAAATGCCATTAGTACTTCAACAATCACTAATAAATTCAGGGAATGCAAAGCATTAACTGCAAATGCAGGTTTATGATTTTCTTCAAAGTCATAGCAGAGCTATTACTGTCCTGTGCAAACCATTTCTTTTCAATGTCTTGCTGATGGCTGATTACTGCCACAACTTTATCATGATTCAGTATTACTTTATTTGTATCAGTCATATACACTAAAAAGACAGATAGGATTATTTATCAGATTGTCATTTTGATAAGGTATGTTCACAGTGTATCCCCAGACCTCATGGTGTGGAGTAACTCTCTTGTCTAACAGACTGCATTTAACAGCTATAAGGATGACTAAGCACTACCTCTAACAACAGTTTTCCAATATGCATACTTGCTCAGGTACCGTAAGTACATGGTTGTTCCTTTATTATTCAGTGCGTTGCTCATGTTGAAATCCTGAGTTCCACCAGGAATGTTGATGGGCAGCAGAACAGCTAGCCTTCCCTTCAGGTCCCTCTGATTTTTCATCACAGGAGTTGAATGAATTGTAGATTCCCAACACCACAGCAAAAATTACTATTGCAGCCACTACCAGCCATACCACATTCCAGTGTTTACACAGTTTGGGGTACAGTATATGTAAATAATTAATGATGACTTCAAGTCTGCTGTAAAATGAAAAGAAAACTGTTATAGATTAATCATATGCAAATTTATTATCTTAAGCTTTTCAGTTCGAGAAGTTTCACAGATGTATGGATAGATGTATGGTGCACCACTTTTCTTCCAAATACAAACACATTGTCAAAGAAGAATCAGACTATTAAGTTCTTTTAAGAAGAGCTGTACACTCAGATATGGGTGATATTTGCAAGACAGCTGAAGACCAAAAACTTAATTTCTATTTCTCCAACCTGTCAACTGGCAAATCTCAGAGCTTGATCTGATGTAAAATTCTGCACTGTTCATACCTTGCTCAACTAAACTAAACATTAGAACACACTGTAAACATTTCTTCCTAAGAGTTTCATGACCACTGAAATGGCCGCCTTTATGAATATGGCTGAAATCTCAAATTACACATGTTTGTAACTGTATTGGTTATGGAATGGAAATTAATTTTTCTGGATCAGGTGATCAGGTAAGGATCCCCACCTTAGCCTGGGATTTGACATATTACTTGCTTTGGCTAGCATTCAATGCCTCTCTAATGCCTCTCTCACTGCTTTTAATAGAAGGACATTGCAGGTGTACTGAAATGGGTGGTAGAACCAATGAGGAGACTCAATAATTAACTCTAAGAAAAGCTTTCTAGTTAGGCATCAATTGCTTCAGGTAAGACAATAAGCAGATGATTCAGACAGAGAACACTGGGCAGATTAATACAATAAATATCATTGCCACAAGGCAGGAAACTCCAGCATAATACTGTTCTGCTGCCTCTACACAGCTTGCAGAGGGAGCAAGCACCTGCCTGTTCAAACCAGAGCAAGTCCAGTGTAGTTGAGGAGCTTGTCTTAATCTGTACTCACCTTGTAGATGTATTGAAAGACTCACCTGTGAAGACTCTTTGGGAATGACATACGGCACAAATACAGGCATCAGATTTCTGAATTACAACTTTTGTGAGACTACACATGCCTACTGAGAGATACATTCTGACATCTAAAGAAATCTTGTGGAATTTTTTTTACCTCAAATCAAAACCCAACCCCGTCAAGATGAAGCATATTGATGTCAACACAATTGTAGCTGAAATATAAAAAGTTTTGCATTTTGCAACTGTTATTTATCTCAGAATATGCATTACTGTGAAAACACTGTTATTTCAAGTATAGTTCCCTACACTGGAAGAAAGCATGTCAAGATAATAGTACAAAACACTTCGTTGGGTGCCACAAATTGAAAAAAAGTAGCCTGTCTTGCATGGACATATTGCACCACTGTCTCACCTGCTTTTCAGGGTTTTTATCTCATGTTCATTTTCACTTTCTTCATGTTCATCAGGACTTTCTTTTAGTGTCTCTTCATCTTCTTCCTTCAGTTCCTGAAGTTCTTTGGTTTTCTTCAAGCCCTCCCGATAACTTTAACACATAGAACATTTTCTTAGTCTAGCATGCTGTCTAAGCCTGTTCTTATGTAATAAAAAATTATCTTCATGTTTTGTCACTTGCCGTAAAACACAACTAGCAGTGTTGCAGCACTTGGGCAAGAGTAAAAATTAGCTGAAGAATGTAAGTATGTCACACAGCCAGCCACCCTTCCTTAATAGGGAATTACATTAGCTCTGTTACAAACTTGTCATCTTGAAACAGATTATAGTCCTCAGGAGAGCTCAACTTCTCTGTTTTGTAAAGGGGTTGGCAAGTATTTCTGTATTATTTTACAATCATTTTGAACACCCTCTACATATTTTTGTTTCCTGCAGAAGTGCAAATCAATGCTAAAGATTGATGGCTTGTTGGATTCTGCAGGAGATGATAAAAATTTTTGTCTTATTCCTCATGTATTAAAAAGATCTTTGCTTGATATTCAGAAACAGATGCCAAAGCTGGGTAAAACAGCCTTTTGTGCCCCAAAACATGCTGTGCAAAGCACTCTGTGACTCAAATAACACAAGTTTACTGTAAGAGTTGATACTTTTACTGATTTCCATGTAAACTTTTCAGAATAAACATTTTAGAAAGTTGTTTTGGATTATTCTATCATGAAGCTGAAAACTACTAACATAAGAGCACGCACCCAATTGAGAATCTCTGATATAACTGCCCTCCCACAGTCTGGCTAACATTAATAATGGATGAAAGTGAACTGCTACTATGCAAATGCAGTGAATAAAGTTCACTTGCATTGCTTCCCACATTCTCCTTCAATTCTGACTGTATATGAGCTCATATTGATTGCCACCCATTTTGCATTTAAAATTACATTGTAAAAACATATGCCCTCATCTCATAGCACATGTTTACAGATTTAGTGCGCATAAAATATTCACACCCTTTGTTATATGCTTCCTCTTCTATCTTGGCTTTAGTTTCAGGATTGATCTCTTCCAACCCACTGTGTGTCAGCACAGAAGTAGCAGTTTCACAGTCGGGCTCTCCATTACTCTTTCCACTGCCAAGACAAAAGAAACAATCACATAGAAAACAACACCACTGAAATAAATTTTATTTGTAGTATATTACCAAACAAGAACAAACACAGAATTTTGTGATTTTTTTTCTTTAATGTACATCTGAGAAATGAAATGTCTTTCAAAAGAGAAAAATTAAACACTAAGCAATATTTTAGTTTCAAAATGTTGTAATTTAAGAATAGTAATTAATATGTTTCTGAGGTATTAGAACTTGCATTTTGTTTCTTCTTTAAAAAAAGACGAGCATTTGTTTCCTGGCTTATCCATGGCATTTATTTGCTATTCTTGAAAACATTTCCCTCAACTTTATAAAAATCATCTTAGAAATTGTAGGATATAATTTCCAGAGGAAAAGAACAGAAATAATACCAAATTCTAATTTAGCAAAACATTTTTCTCACGTACCTTTTAGGTACTTCCCTCCGCTGACTTTATTCCCTGAACCAATATACAGGTTAAAAAATACAAAAACATGCATAGCTTTTGTCACTGAAATTTTTCCTAAGTGAAAGGCATGAGAATTTAGCCTAAAGATAAGCAATTGTATACTGCTTTCTCTCTGCAGTGCTCACTTGTCCTCCTTTATTTAAGGCTGGGACAAAGAGCTTAAGTGATTCAGACATGACTTAGCAAATCAAGTCAATGTTTTATAAGCTCAACAGTGGATTCATTTTCAACTTCCAGAATCTAACCCTTTTTGTAGGCCTGATTTTTCTGGCACTAAAATCAATGGCAGAATAATATATCCTGACTGACACTATCTGTGGGCAATTGATTTTCTCTCAAGAAGGCATATTCACGTCATTTTCACTTGGACTTCAAGTAAATCCTGAGTATAAGCTTGAACTGCCTAAGTATACAAAACTCTGATGACTATGTAATTTTACACTACTATAGCAGCTGGCTCACGCATACATACATTTAAATTTGAATTTAAAGTTCTACTACTTGATAGCATGATTTGGTTTTTTAAGATCCAGGAAGATACTTACCAGATACTAGGAAGTTTTTGGGGGGATGTTGGTTTTGGTGTGGTGGTTTTTTTGCTGTTTGGTTTGTTTTGTGTTTCAGAATTTCTATACAGTTTCAAAAGATGGCCAAAATCTTACAGAGTTCTGTTGATTTGTAAAATCTAGTGCCATAGTTCGCTGGTTTTGTTTTTCCAATTGTTGTGTATTTTCATTCTTAGTAAAGCACAGAGATAAAGTAAAGTCATAAGATAAATTTTGTCCTCCCTCAGCACTAATCTAAAATATGTGAAATTCAATATTCTGTACTGATGTGAGATCTCCGTATTTTAAAGCTTTTAATTTGCATGTTTAAATCATTCTAACAAACTTTAAATTATTATTACAGATATTTTATTCTGATATTGTAAACAGTCTAAACAACCAAAGTAGCAGTAGAAGTAGTAACAACAACAACAGAAATCGGTTTGATATTTTAATAAGTTTTACTTCTGAAATGTCAGCAAGCAACTTCCCTAGAATGTGCAACATTTCCTGGAAGAGATATATATTTGGAAAAATGCCTGACATTTTTTTTTGTTGCTTTCTGGGCGGATTATATTATACATACATGGGTTTGCAAATGCAACAGTACCTGTATCCATAACAGTAACTGTTTACAAAGACCTTGTAGAACAGCTTAGGTGTGCCTTCCTGTTCTCATCCCAGTCTCACATGTTTTCCTATTGCCCACCCTTGTACTCTACTACTGCAGGGGCTTTATGTTTCAATAACTTGCGTAAAACTAAACTACATGAATTTCAACTGGAAGAAGTTAAAAAAGTTCTTTCCAGAAATGTGTATATGTGTGCTCTTTCTGGCAGAGCAATTATCTGCTTTCCTTGTTCCTATAGCTATTATTTTGCTCTTAAAGTGGTACTATTTAATCCCATAGAATGACTCATGGAACTATTATGAAAAATGGATAACTACAGCACACCTTAATCTAGTGTGGACATCTACAGTAGTGGTAAATGATATAGAATTAAAAGGGCAACTATTTTAACGAAAAATATTTTTGCAATTTATAGGTACTAGAAAAATACTTATTGAGATATTTGTTACCAGGCTAAAAAAAAAGTCCCCTCTTTTGTATCTCTATTTTTTAATTTTAAAATGCAAACATCTCTGCCTGTTATAACTAAAGTCTCAGGATGTTAAAACTAAAATCTCAAACCGAATGTTTTAATTTAGCTGAATGTTCATTTTATACTAAGAAAATAATTCCTATGCAATAATTTTTTTTACGTCTGCAATAATTTGATTATCTAATATTATAAGTTATACTGTTGAATTTTGTATATTATGTTTATTCATGCAAATTAAAAAGGCTACATGACACAGACTTCTATTACTGGGATAGTCAAGTTAACGTATATTCATACCCAGGAGTGGTCATGGCCAACTGTATGTACAGCATTAATTTGTTCCAGGAAATATATTACCACCACCACCCCCCACAACCCCACAACCCAGCCATGTGCATTTTTTGTCATATTCTTAATTTTGTTCTGAGATACTGCTTGTAAGCTCTTTCAACATGAAAAGAACCATATGATGGTGACATAGTAAAACACATTTACCAGACCATGAATCAACCTAGCCAGTATTGTGTTGCTGATTTCAATACCTTGATGTAACTTCTATTAAGAAAGATAGAAATTATATAATTTTCATTTCATACTAGGATTTAGTAGGTAATGAGATGACCTAGACAAAACTTACTTTTCTAAAAGTGCTGGCAGAACAGGAGTAGATGTTAGATTGCTTCTTCCATTACTAGGTGGTTCAGACTGTCAGTGAAAAACAGCAATAAATGTTACATTAATTTCAAATGAGTCTTCAATAAAATGACAAAGTCAATGTGCTGCTTAGGTTTTCTTCCCACACCCGAGGGCAAGAGCTCTTAATATAGAGCTTCTCAATTACTCCCACTAATGAAAGTAAAGAGCGGACTTGCATACTATAAAGAATTTTCTGTGACATTCGTTTCCATCTTGTTTATTTTTCCCAACAAAAGTCTTTCATCATATATTTGATAACTTAACAGCAAAATCACTCTATTTGCTTCTCTCCATATTATCCTAGGAGCATTAATTTGTTAGCTTTCAGTGGAAAATTAAAAAAAAACCTAAATCATAATAAATCATGGTAAACAAACACATTTCATTTCTGAAACAATTGACTCTGAGTACATAATACCTAGATTGCACAAACAGATTGTTTCCTTAAAACTGAAAACCACAATGGATTTAGCTTCTCAGCAAAACCTCTCATTTAAATAGCCCTACATTTGAAACAGAAAACCATGTATTATTTTTTTTTTATGACAAGCTATCAGAGCTCATGTCTGAACACTTGGCATGCCTTGGATTTTTCCATCAAAGTATTTATATAGATTTCAATTTAATTTATTAAAATTTTATAAACAAAAAATCAAGACAGAGTCTGATAGTTCCACTCTAGTTCCATCACAGAAGGTCTAAATTTGTACCACATATATTTCTGTACATTAATTATATGTTTTTCTGTTTAGGGGACTTTTCAGCAATGAAGAGAAGCAGTCCAACCATCTTCTATGGTTTCAAGTTAAAACTTCTCTCATACAGTGGACAACTATATTTACTACTCCTTCCCAGTATGATTAAAAGGCAAATTGCCCCAACTAATGTCTAATGCTTCTGAATCACCAGCAAGCCTTTTTTGGCTCTGTGTCCAAAGTAATTACTTATGGAGGTAGTTTCTGAAGGCATTATGTTCCCTACATAATAGGAATTAACTTTGTCCATCTCCTTCACTAGGATGGAGTCAAAAGAGTTAAACCAACAAAAGGGCTTAAATTTTATTTTTTATTAAGTAACTATAGCTTTGTCCTAAGCAAAAGTGATTTAAACAAAAGGCAGTATCTTTACAATGTGGGGTTTACTTACCTGGGATGGCACTGAAGGTATAGGTGAAGCTGTCGGTGACTGACCAGGAATGTTTAAGGAGTTAAATTTAGGAACAACAGCAACACTGACTCTCCTCCGAGGCATATTCTGTGAGAAACAATTTTTATTGTTTTTTAATCATACAACGAGATAGACTGAAGAACAATTCCACAGGTTAATAGGGGTGGCAAAAAGGGAGGTTAATGTGCCTTGGGGAAAGGAGAGTTAGAAGCAAAACTGAGATGAATGGCTGTTATGGCTGTAGTTTTCCTCAAAACGTCCTCTAGTACTAACTGGTATGTCAAGTGCTTAGTGTGAAATGAGGTGTTGTACAGGGATGCTGCTGTTTTCCTTCCACACTGAAGGCCCAGTCAAAGTCACACAACAGATATGTTCTGAGTTGATACTGGCAGTTCTTATTAGAGGCTATTATCACGGTTAAATCAGAAGTATAATAATACAGGGGAAAGTGCCAGTGTCTCAGTGACCGGATAATGGTTACACATGAAACTCTTGTGATGTACTCATTATGATATGCTCTATCTGCTGTGATATGCTGTACCCACAATTATTTCTAAACCTACAAGTTATAACATCTGTTCCATCTGCAAAAGAACAGAGCCTTGTCCCCAACCCTTGAGTTTTTAGCTGTCTAGCATCATGCAACATTGCTTACGTTTCCCAAAGACCATGGAAATTCTTTATATGATAAACACATGCTAGCTGTACACAATATATTCTAGCTGAAGTACAGATCATATAAGTTTTTTATGTCATTAGGTAAATAGGCAATTTTTTCATCCAATGATGTACACATAGTAAAATCTACACTTCCAACTGAGTAAAAAAATCCAAGCACTTGTAGTATCTGACAGCTTTGTGTTAGTGCATATCTAAATGCTTTACAATTCTGCTCTAGATAGCCTTAGAGAAAAGGACTGAAACATAGATCTAGTAAATATATGGAAGGAGTTACCTACTCCATGATCCCAGTTCTAGACAAAACCAGTACATCTATTCATTAATGACAGAGGTTTATCTAATGTGCTCCTGAAAACTATACTGGGGAGTCTGCAGCCATGTTAGGCAGTCCATCTTAGTGTTTTGGGGTCCCCTCACCTTTATGATTTGAACTTGTTCTTATTAAATTTAATTTTTTTGGGGGGGACCTCTTTTTCAGCTGATCTGGTTCTCATTCTTAAAGCCAGTCTTGCCCTCAGCATGCTCTGTGCTCTAATTCTCTCTATCCAGCACTCAGAGGTGGCAGAAGTAAATTAAAACCAAAGAGCTATAACCCAAGCAAACAAAAATATGAAAATAAATAGTAGACTGCATATAATGCCTCTGACCACCAAATTTCATAATGGTCACATTGAGACTTAGTTCCCTCAAAACACTGGTTGTTTTAGGAAGTTTTGTAATAAACTTGATGTCCAGTGCTTGGAAGTTTTGCAGAAATGGAATGCTGGCCATGTTATTGGTCAAGCCAAAACAATCTGATGTAATAGCTCACTCTGGATGCTTTGTCAAACTGAACAAGATACTTCAATGCTAACTGGAAAATGAGCAGCGCTTAAAAATAACTGTTTACATCTTAAGGCACTCTGAACATGATATAATTCTTAAGATAATGAAAATGGTATGATCATGGAATCCCAAGTCATTTAGTAAGTTTTGTGTTCAGCTTCCTCAATGAGGAACTAGAATAAAGCACAGGACCTCAGCCATTCTCTGCACAGGTATGTGGCCTGGAATACAATTATTCTTAAATAAATATGTCCCTTTACTATTTATGGTTCCACAGCAAGCATTATCATTATTGCACAAAGTCATATGTAATCATGTATCCAAAATTACTAAACACTTGCATGAATAATATTGAATATTTACCAGCACTATGTTTTGAACACAGCCTAAGAAAGTGTATGTAGACAGAAATTTCATTATATAAAACGTTCATTTTCTTAATATTATAGAAATACCTTTCCAACAGTAAGAGACATGGATCTAGTTGAACGAGGTACTCCGTCTTCTGCAAAAAAAAAAAAGTAGATAAAGAGCAGTCTTACACTATATGAGTATCTGTATAAATAATAATCAGAGAGCCCTTGTTGCATTTCAAACTCTGATGTAGTATACTTATATATAAGGTCTGTAGTGACTGCGTATTTATCTGCCATACAGTTCTGGTCTCAATTACACCTACAGAAGAAACCTGAAATAATTGCAAAAAAATGAACCGTTACTATCTTTTGCCTCCATATACAACTTCTGGCAAAAGAAAATACTCATATATCCCTTTCCAGCAAACTAGGAAAGAAAAGGTTAGAAAAAGAAAAATACTTTTAAATAATGAAATCCTGCCATCATACCTCATCTAGACAGCTATGTTGAAACTGTGCAAGCTATGTGTATGTGCGAGAGGCCAACAAAAATGTCACTGGATTGCATCAGAATTTGTGAAGTGATAGTGATTTTAAATTACTGTACCATAGCATTGTGTGTTTTTTTTTTTTTTTATGAAATATCTTAATGGTTACATCTGTAGCTTTTTGAAGTCTACTCCTGTACATCAGAACTTCATGAACAGGTTTCACAATACTTCACTTTTTATCATTGATAGCACCAACACCTTCCCATATGGAGGCGAGACAAACCCTTAAATGTTTGGGTTTTTTTACCAGATGCCCCATAGCTTCTGCTAGAATTCTGATTGGCAAGCTTCTTGAACTCCATTAGCTCAGCATGATCCTTTTCATACGTTCTTTTCAGATTTTCCACATACTGCATCATTACTTCTGTTGCCTTTGACATACGCTTCTCCTAAGGAAGAAAAGAGGGGAATACTCAGGAGCCTCTACACTTCTCAAACAAATTATTTGCCTCTGTGAATGCTCCCTGTCAGGGCCAAATCTGGAATAGCTATTAAAGAAATATTTAGTATTTCTTAAAGAAATATATGGTACCTCCATGTCTGAAAATTCTGAAGCTAATTAAACACAAATGTACATGCATTCATATATATTCACAGAATATTACAATTTATTTTGTCATATCTTTCTACATTCTGCCTGTGTGCCTATCTTATTACTTATGTTGTATAAGCACTTTTGTTTTCAAACTCTCAAAGGTCTTAGTCACTGGCATCAGTCTAGTTTTTTCCAAGGAAATAGGCAAAAGTCTTGAATCTGGGAGGATATTGCTGTGTTCTCATTTATACTTGGTCTGTTATTACTATAGTTGCCTGACTAAGTCATTGCCAAAGGCAGATGACTAAATTCGATGAGCTTTTTGACCCAGAAAGTATTCTTATTCATGCTGCGCTGATTTTAAATAAGTTTATTGTGATGCAGTTATAGTTCTGAATAATATGCATGCTCCTATTGCACAGATGTTTAGCAGCTTCCCGGCCAACCTTCTTTTTGAATTCTACTCCCATACTGAAATAGTGTCTTCTCTGACATTGTAATAAATGTCTTTAATCTCTGAAAATGGCAAATAAAATTCAAAGGGCTAATATAACCTTCAGATATGACTGAAAGAGTGAACATATGCAGCCAGGATATGTGTTAAGACACCAGGGTGTTCTTACCTGGCGAACAGCTCCAACCATCTCAGCACGACTAGAGAGTCTAGCAGCTAAACGCCGTAGAACAGCAATATCCTCCAATAGCTTCTGGTAAGCTTCTCTGTGTTCATAATGATGCCATAAGTGAGCTGAAGACTGAAGTGAAAATACAGAAGCTTTATCATCGTATCTTGCCACTTTTAGTTCAGATAAAGTAGCCTGAGCCACAGAAGCAGGGTTGAGATGTCTAGGCAGAACTACACATGGAGTACAAATTAGTCCCAGAGCAGTTCCATAGCTATTACCATAGATAACCTAGACAGTGCTGCTACTGTGTGTCAGAATGATGCTGCGCTGCATGCTGCAGACAGACCTTAGAAGGAGTTAAAGAGGGCTTTTGCAATACTTTTCCAATACTTTTCCTTTTAAAATTAATGATCAATCATGCCTGGCTACCTGTGAACTTTGCAAATGCCAAGGTTATTATTATTATTATTTGCAAATTATTGCCAAAACACAAAGAACATTTTAATTTGCTGGGCCCAAGGTGTTAAAGCAGCCGCTCATGTTCTCTCAGTCCTGTGATACTTCACTTATAAAAAAAATTACAGTCTCAAGAATTCCAAGTGTAAGAGAATAATAAAAAATAATATGGCCTATAAATCAAATGGCAAATGTAAGACCCATGAAGGCATAAAGGAATCTGTTTGAAACAAACATGCACAAAATTTCCAGTTTTCAGGTTTTTCTTGGCAACTGTAACACGCTAGTTTTCGCGAACATATCTGAAGTTCATGTAAATCAGCTTTCACTTGAAGTTGGGTTTTTACTGAAACATCAATTATCATAAGATTGATTAAAAAAAATCATGAAGACTGGTAACACTGTCATTGAGCCATATAATGTGCCTGTTCTACAGAAATGAAGATAACCTCATACTGAGATTGAAACAAGTCTAGGTCTAATATTATACAGATTACACAGAAACCATCACTTCATTTAATTGCTTGTTAGTTTATTCCATTGTATAGAACAAAAGCTTTCATATGAATGGCAGTTTCTACTTTCTTATAAACTATGTAGAAAAGCTTGTAAAAGCCAGACTGTAGCGTGCGAACTGCACAAAGGAGGAAAAAGCTAACCACATCTGTTGTATGCTGGCGTGACCCTTGGTGCTTAATTACAGATTCTTAAGAGATCAAATCTAACAGACTTTTTTCAGTCTGAACCCTCTGATTTAATATGTTGCTTCTGCCTGCTCTCTAAACAGAGAGCAGAGTGAAGAGCAGCAAAACATTAAAAACTTTTTATTTTTTTCCCCAGGAACAACAGTGTGGAAATTCAGATTTGAAAAGATGCAAATATTTTTTGAAAAGACATAAGTGTTTTCCAGATGAAAAGATGTAAATATCACAATCTTTTCTTTAGTTGTATCTTTTCTTACCTGATGATGGTCTTGATAAAGAAAAAGGGAGAATCATGTTCCCCTATTTCTTGAAAGTATGGCAGCACCTCCTTGTAATATTCAAATTGGGTCTACAGGTATTTCATTTAGCATCATGGTATCTGAGCATCCCTTCTTATTTGCACAAAAATGTGTGCAGCATATAAAATGACACATCTCAAAAATGTATTTGTCATTTGAATTAGAAAATCCAGAGAAAGCTGGCAAAAAGGACTGAAAACTACTGCTGATAAAAGAACGTCAGGGACAGCTGGAATTGAAGTGTAATAATGCCCATAACCTGATCCTGAGGTTGCATGTATTCCTGAAGGAATTCTTGCTGTCTCCTTTCTTATATCGCCTTCTGTTATCTGCAGTTAGGAGGTCTTTCATGTCACAAATCTCAGGACTCAGGCTTCAGGTAATTTCATTATCTCCCCTAACTAGACACTTCAAATTTAGTGCTAAAGAAGGTCTTACCCAGGAGGGCAGGGATCAGTGTTCAGACTGTGGTTCTGAACACCCTTAGCTTTGTCAAGGGCTTATTCCAAGTAGCGAACAGCAAATTCACAGTATTTATTCCTGAAATCTGCAAGAGAGGGCAATTTCCAGCAATGGCGGCCTCCTGGTAGAAAATGCTCCCTCTTGTGCAGAGTGGTAGGCAGATCATGGGAAAGAGCTCAGGCAGCAAAATATGAATGTATTCTGGGGCTGAATTTACAATAGGCATAAGGAAACCTAGCCTCACGTATTTCAAAAGTGTGCATGCTCTCATGTACGTTATAGATAGAAGAATTGTTTTCTTACTGTAATGGCTGCTTTAAAGCTTTCCAGTTCCTTCTCAGCATTCTCTTCGGTAAGATTTCTCTCTCGCTCTGCTTGGTTAATTCTAGATTCCAAGGTATAACTATCATTTCTAAAGGCCAAGGAAAGTTGTACAAATACATTCTGTTTGGATTTAAGAAAAGCATTTTTAAATAAGCATCACAGTAATGTCATTTTCAGTAACAACTGACATGGTATGTATTTAAGAAACTTTGGTGCTTACATAAGTATTGAAAGAGAAAATCTAAAATGCTTTTTAAATTAAAAAAAAAATAATCTCTTTACTACTTTTAAAATAGGAATAAACATTCAACAGGCCCTGCTGCCTCTTTTCTGAATGTTTTTCTAGATCAGCAGAGAGACACAATGAAGGAAGTAGCCTACCAGAAGTATCAGAATCACAATGGACCTGTTTTCTAGCTGGACTTCCTCCAAGGGTCCCCAAGGTTTTTAAACAGATAGTCTGTGCAAAGGAAGTCCAGGGATGAGCTCACCATTAGCATTGTTTCACATAAGGGATAAATACCTACCACTGAAGCCAGCAAAACGTTAAGTGCTAACATTTTTATTCTCCTGCCCTCAACTGTTAAATATTGTTTCTTTCTTCACCAGGTGTATTATTTCTTAGGATAAATACTTGGCAAAGCACAAAGTACCAACAGTTTCATTAGATTGCAGCTATGCAAATAAAGACCTTTTTCTTGTCTGGCATGTGGAAAAAAAGAAGAAAAAAAGCCAGCAAGCTAAAGAGCAACCGAAAAAATAATTAAAATTATATAAACTAATTGCAAGATGTAATCAAAAACTGCTCCAAAGCTTCTAGTGGCCAGTACAAAAATGCAATTAAGCTCATTTAATTTCTGGTCTCATTTAATCTCTATTTTACTATTTATGTATATTACAATAATTTCCATGATGAATTGTATTTCACTATGAAGAATGCACAAACAAGTGTTTTGTTTGTTCCTACCGTAAGTCTTTTTACAGTTTATACTGTCCCTGACAACTGCTCATATTTCACAGAATTGTTATTTTCATTGTGCTCAATATGCTTTTTTTCTGAGAAACATTTTTAGGAAATAAAAATCCCATTACCTGGTTCTAGTAACAACCTTTAGGATTACAGTAACCACTTGAAATTAAGGCATATGGCTAAAATAATGAGTTTAAGAACATACTTACCTCAACTTCTTTTTCAGTAAGTGGAGGAGAGCTAGAAATAAAAGCAAGCAGAAATCATATTTTAATTACTTTTGTCTTTAAAACCAGAGCTATTCTTATATTTAACCAAAACCAAAAGAAAAAATCCCCATCCTCCCGGTAAATATGTTATGGTTTCTTTAGGTGAAATCAGTATTTTATTAATTAAATTGTACTTGCTATGGCTAAACCCCACATCGTGTTGTTTGGTTTTGGAGGTTTTTTTAGGCACAGCAGAGAATCTCCTGAGTACTGGCAAAACCATACCGAAGTTTGTGACGACCAGAAATACTGCTATCTTTACTGCACTGTGATAAATTGAGAGTACAAGAGAAAGACAAAAGTTACCCTTTTGGAGTTGTGGATGACTTAATATGCTACACTTTGGAATATTATCTTTACCCATTTTCCTTCCATTAAGAGATAACCACATATGTACAGAATTCAAAGCGCAGCTCACTGTTTACTGAACTATTCTGGTTTGGCTGCTCCTTTTGTTAGAAGTTAGCTAACAATTATTTTGACATTGACAAATTTTACGTTTGAGTTTTGCGTTTTCCACCACAAAAATGATTACTGACTATATAAAAACTACAAAAAGTTACCAAAATGCAGTTTCATAGAATACTAGATATACAGATATTAAAGAAAAAAAATAAAAATGAGATAGACAACATTATATTAGAAGATTTCACTTAAATGCAGTCATCTTTAGTGTTCGAATTTACAGGTTCTTAGTCCCTGTAATCGCTCCCAAACATCAGAGGCTATTCAGTGTTATACAAGTGAATAGAGATGAGAAACACCTGAAAGAAATGACAGGAGCTGTAAATACAAATTCTAGTGGATGCCAGACGATATCTATCATGATCTGTCCAGGCATGATACTGTCAGAAAATTCATAAAATTGTAAGAATAGAATCATAGAATAGTTAGGGTTGGAAAGGACCTTAAGATCATCAAGTTCCAACCCCCCTGCCATGGGCAGGGACACCTCACGCTAAACCATGTCACCCAAGGCTGTGTCCAACCTGGCCTTGAACACCACTAGGGATGGAGCATTTACCACTTCTCTGGGCAACCTGTTCCAGTGCCTCACAACCCTCACAGTAAAGAACTTCTTCCTTATATCTAACCTGAACTTCCTCTGTTTCAGTTTAAATCCATTACCCCTTGTCATATTGCCACAGTCCCTGACAAAGAGTCCCTTCCTTGTAGGCTCCCTTCAGATACTGGAAGGCTGTTATGAGGTCCAGCCTTCCAACAGCTCAAACTTTCTTAACCTGTCTTCATACAGCAGGTGCTCCAGCCCCCGATCATCCTCCTGACTCTCCTCTGGTCTTGCTCCAGCACCTTCATGTCCCTCTTTTGTTAAGAACAGCAGAACTGTACACAGTACTTCAAGTGGGATCTCATGAGAACAGAGTAGAGGGGCAGAATCACCTCTTTTGACCTGCTGGTCAGGCTCCTTTTGATGCAGCCCAGGATATGGTTGGATCTCTGTGCTGCGAGCGCACACTGAAGCCGGCTCATGTTGAATTTCTCCTTGACCAACACCCCAAGTACTTCTCCACAGGGCTGCTCTGAATCTCTTCTCTGCCCAACCTGTAGCTGTGCCTGGGATTGCGCCAACCCAGGTGTAGGACCTTGCACTTCACTTTCTTGAGATTCATGAGGTTGGCATTGTCCCATCCCTCAAGCATGTTAAGGTCCCTGTGGATGGCATCCCTTCCCTCCAGTGTATTAACTGAACCACACAGGTTGATGTCATCAGCAAAGCTGAGGGTACACTCAATCCACTATCCAAGTTGCTGACAAAGATGTTGAACAGGATCAGTTCCTACACCGATCCCTTAGGGACACCACTTGTTACCCATTTCCAGTTGGACATTGAGCCTTTGACCACAACTCTCTGCGTGCAGCCATCCAGCCAGTTCATTATGCACCAGGTGGTCCATCCATCAAATTTATGTCTCTCCAATTTAGAGACAAGGATGTCGTGTGGGACAGCTTCGAACGCTTTACACAAGTCCAGGTAGATGACATCAACTGCCTTGCCCCTGTCCATCACTTCTGCAGCCCCATCATAGAAGACCACCAAATTCGTCAGGCAGGATTTCCCCTTAGTGAAGCCATGCTGGCTGTTACCAAGCACCTTGTTGATTTTCACGTGCCTCAGCATGGTTTCCAGGAGAATTTGCTCCATGATCCTGCCAGGCACAGAGGTGAGACTGACTGGTCTGTAGTTTCCTGGGTCTTTCATTTCCCCATCTTGAAAATAGGGGTTATATTTCCCTTTTTCCATATTTCCCTCTTCATTAGGGACTGTAGAGATAGGACAAGGGGTAATGGGTTAAAACTTAAACAGGGGATGTTTAGATTGGATATAAGGAGGAAATTCTTTCCTGTTAGGGTGGTGAGGCACTGGAATAGGTTGCCCAAGGAGGTTATGAGTGCTCCATCCCTGGCGGTGTTCAAGGCCAGGTTGGATGAGGCCTTGGGTGATATGGTCTAGAGCGAGGTGTCCCTGCCCATGGCAGGGGGCCTGGAACTTGATGATCTTATGGTCCTTTCCAACCCTAACTATTCTATAATTCTATGATTCTATGAAATTAAGTTTAAATTAAAATACTAGTGTAATAGTCATTACATCATTAGTCCCAAATATAGAAATCAATGCATCTGGCACCACTGAGCAGCAGATTTTTTTCATTGTGTAGGATGACAATACTTAGAGAGGTGACTAGAAGAAAGGAGCCCAGTATATTCCCTGTGTTGGAAAACCATTCTATGCCTAAAGTATTATTATTCATATTACTTACTGTTATTCTAGGAGGAAGCCTACTAGAAGGAATAGTCCTAGAAGAAAGTTTGAGCATCTGCATGTGTCATATAACACAGCACAGAATGGTAAAATTCATGTCTTGATTTTTACTGAGAATGTTCTGAGAAATTTGTTTAAAGAATGAAAAGTAATGTGTGTATTTATTCAAAAGGTTAAGCTAACTGATTAAAGAATATTGCCTGAGAAACAGAAGATCTGTGTATTATCTGATCCTCAAAGCCAGCAGCATTTGCCTATTTTGTACTAAGCTATGAAATTGTTTTTCTTTTCAGCATTTAATTACAATGAAGCAATGGCCTGTTGACTTCTTCACCTCACACATCCATTGATACAACAGTTCCATCACAACAAATGCTAAGTATTTATTCCAACTGCACAGAGAACACTTAGTGACTGCTTCAAATGATTGAAAGCCTCTGGTGTTTATAGTATAAAAATATATGGGTGAATTTAGGAATAGTTTTGGCCAAATATCTTTGGAATTGTTTTAATAACAAACAAACAAACAAAGCTTATTTCTTTTACTTCTCTCAAAGAAAAGGTTTATGCAGAAATATGGAAGAAGTTTAGCCTTATTCTAATGCAATACAAATTAAAATATGGTCAGTGTCTTGCACAGAAAAGATCAAGGAATTTGCAAAATAGACTCAAATTCCCTGAAAAACTGTCACTTGCAGAAAAAACTGCAGAATTCTTCCCTGCCCAAATTTTACCATTGAAAAGCATTATCTAATCTGATTATTTTTTTCTGGGGAAAAGAAACAGTAACATTTTCAACATGAATTTGTATCTGCAGCAGCAGTCCTGAAAACCAGGAGTGGACAGACCAGTGGAAGAAATCTGTACAAAAACGTACTTGTAGCATGGAAGTTAGGTTTCAGACCTTTCATACAGACCTTATAAATTAATTTAAAAAGTTGGCGAGTTACTGAAACTTTGCGCATTCCCCAAATTTCTCTGAAAAATCTGTGTTGCACATTTTCAGTTGCTACTTATGTGGATCCCATACGAATGGAACTCCATAAAGGGTGTTCACTGGAAACCATTAGCGTGCCTTCCCCCACATGATGTCTTTCTACTTCTAATGAGCTTTTACCTTCCCGGAAGTGATTTGTGCACTCGTAGTTTTCGCAGCAATACATCAGGAATGCTGGGCATGACATCAGAGCTATTCTTTGTCTCTTCCTCTTCAGTGGGGGAAGGGAGAGGTGAAGGGCCTAAAGACATTGTCGGACAAAAACCTTTTTATGATATTTGAAAAGTCATGCATTAACTATTAATAGGCAGCATCTCAGAGCCAAGTGAGACCGTTTAGCCTGTGTCATTTTAAAGTCAATGAGCCTTTCACCCCAGCTGTACTGGGAGCGAAGTGACAAGAAAAGGTTCATTCTTTCAGGCAGAATGATAGTTTCTTTACTGCGTATGGTGATTCAACTTTACTTCCTGTCTTACTTTCAAGCACTGGCAACAAAAGTAATCAGTACACTTGTAATTCTTTATAAAGAAATACTGAAGTAATAAGTACCCTGACAGTTTCTAATGCACTGAAAAATAATTATTTTATTAATATTTTTCCTAGAATTCAAACGGAACCCAAATTCCGTTACTGGAACATCTAGCCTAATATTTTGCATTTGTGTTTTGCCAGTACAGTGACATAATTTCTGGAATATTTTAGATTAGATTTTTTTAATAGAGTACTGTAATTTTCTAAGGCTTTAAATGCTACCTGCCAAGATGAAGCCTAGTACTATATTACAGATTTTTGTGCATGGTTTACGGTGATGAGTCTACAGCATGTATTTGTTTGCAGTACATGTTCACTGAAACAGCACATAAAGTTTATAATTGCATTCTCTACTTCTGTCACTTTCAGAAGGACCAAGATACAGCTAATACTTCTTTTTTTAATTCACGTTACTTTTTTTTTTTTCATTTTATTTAATTTCATGTATAGTAACTCCTTATGTTCTTCTATCTTGCCAGAACTTAGTGAAGGACTCTTCTACAGGAAAGTCAGGTTTCTCAGTCTGAATCTCAGACTTGGGAAGATATCTTTGTATAGCTGTTTTGATATTTGGCATAACGCAAAGATTCTTAAATTTGCAAAACAAATTGTGCGACAAAGTTCAAGTTTTGTAAAGGTGGAAAGTATTCAAATGAAACACAGAAGAGGAGATTCTTTCTAGCTGCATTTTAGTTCCATGCATAAAAATTTCAGTATTTACCTGGGAACAGTCACGAATGTCCCTATAAGAAAAGCCAGCCTGACACCATGTCTCCAAATCTAATATATCCTACTTATCTAAACTTCTGTAGGTGCAAAGTTGTGTTTACTCAGACGATCAGAATAACTTGGCATTGAGAGCAAAACATGATGAAGCCAGTATATTTGATTCATAACAATAATAATGAAGTATCTGGCTATTTCCTATTGTTTAAGCAAAATTACTACTCCAGTTAAAAATTACAAGGTGGCTTTTATGACAATGTGAGGAAGTAAGTCTCCCTAACAAATGAACTAAGGATTTGACCCCACACTTGATTTCCCCACCAAGGACAAGGAGTTGACTCTTAATGTTCTGGCTATCATTTAGATAAGTCACCAGAGTTTAAAAAAACTTGTGAGGTTCTTGAGATCTTGATTGAAAAGCTGGATAAAATAATGCTTAGCTTTTCATGACAGTTTCCTCAAAAGTTTCAAATCATGTAATAGGCTGGTAAAGTGGCAGCTGTTTTACATTTAAACACAGCCTGCTAAATAATTTCTTGGAAACAATAAGTTAGCATAGTAACAGGAATAATATTACCATACCTAAGAATTCAAAGATTACTAAAGACAGGAAGAAGACAAGAAGCCTCTTTTAATCTTGTTTCATTCAGTCATGATGAGTCTGTTTTCAGAGATAACATGAAATATAATTTCTCTGTCATCTTATGCGACAGAAACTCTAAGGCCTTATGAAACAGTCCCAAAGCATATCTATGAATTAGCAAAATAAACAGTATTAGGAAAAATGGAAATTTTATTTGGATTATATCTTGGATAATCAGTTTCAGCTCCTTTCACTTTCTCCATGTCACTTAATGTGGCCTTAGAAACACTTAGAACAAGTTCTGACTTAACTGCTTCCAAGAAAACATACAGGTTTGGTTTAAATATTTTCAGCTGATCAGTCAGAGCTACTGCTATTTGGTTCTTCCAGTTGTTGAATTGTCCTCAGGATTATATCTTTGCTCTTTATTTCTATTCTGAATCTTTTTAGATGCAGCATACAGGCATCAAATCTCATTTGCTTGTGTTAGATTTGAAAAAAAAAAATTATGTAGAGGTATTAGCCTTTTTCTTATTAAAAATTGTACTAATTGAGCTAAAAAAAACCTCTAGCCCCACTTATTGATAGGCATATTTTTGCAATCCTTCAATCACTTTTGTGTCTCCTCTCTGGCCTTACTCTTGCCTATCCACATTGATGTAGAGCTGTGGACAGAAAGTGGACATGCCATTTCAATATTTGCCACACATATAGTAGAATAATAAAGCAGGAATAAAGCATTCCACCTCTTACTAATACTTTCAAGGATCAAATTCCCCCTTATAGCCAGAATATCTTGCAGAGGACACATCCATTGAATCCATCACTACTGAAACTTTTTTCAGAATGTGGCTGAAATTTGAGAGAGTCCTTCATCTATTAAGTACAACCTAAACTCTGTTCCAGGCATGTATCTTTTAATTTGGTTGTAATAATACCCACAGTATCTTCTTGCCTCAGATCATCAAGAAATTCAGGTATTTCTACTCCTAGACCCCTTCCTCATGGCCGCTTCATTACACAATTATTGCAACTGAAGTGTTGGGGTTTATTTTCCCTTCCATAGTAGTCAGTTATAAAATCCAGTGTATAATAGACACTCATTACAGCTTTTATGATACTGCACCTTTTTCTTGTTCAGCAGCTTCACTAAGTTCAGGAAGTTTGAGTCCAACTAAATTTTGATTTCTCATCAAAATATGCTCCTGTTAAGAAAAACAGTAAAATTTCTAAGTAACTTTACTAGAAATCTCAATTTAAAGATCCCTGCCATGTGGACACTAAATATAACATTTATTTGAGCTAATAAACAGAATAGAGATATTTATATTGTTACAATTATATTGTTATAGTCACACGCTACATTGCATGGACACGTACATTCACAAACATAACATCTTAAATATTACATATTTCAAATTTCGTACACGCGTCACTTAGAAAAATTCCTGTGATGCAGACAGAGATGTGGAGCAGGTCCCCCTTACTCAAAGAGGTTTTGGTAAATGAGAGGTTTAGTAAATAACAGCAAAAAAAGCAGTTTTGGATATAGCTACAGCAATAGTTAAGTATCACAGAAAAGAGAGAGAATGCTACAGCTGTAAGCTAATACTTCACTGTTACTGTACCCTGCTTCCATTCCTTACAGGTAAGGAAGACTGTACTCATCTTCTGATTTTCTACCTTAGTATTCTCAAATACGTTTAAAATACACATGCAGCTGCTTTTGCTAACAAGTAGGCAATTACTACCAAAGACAGAGTTCAAATCTCACCTAACCACAACCGTGCATCATGTATTATTTTTCTGATTCTAAATATTATTTGTGCTTAACAGCTTCTAGGACTTTCAAAATCATATGGCTCAAGTGTCTCTATAATCAAGAATTCCATCAGAATTCCAGTACACATATGCTAAGAAGTTGTGTGCAGTATAAACAGGAAAACATGAATAACTAAGCTACCATTTCCAAGCAATACACTAGGGAGAAATTAACCAAAGTACAGAATTTGAGGTGCTCACCTGTCAGCCTTATGTTCATCTTAAAGTATTAACTACTGGAAGTCAAAGAAAATAGTCTTATTAGGTTGTTAAGTAAAGTAAGCACTATTTTCTTTTTTTCCTTTCAAAGTAACTTTTGCTATACACATGGTGGTTACTTTATGATGGTGGGTTATCATTTCATTTTGACTTTTTTTCAATACACTGATTAATTATTAGGGTTTAATTCTGAATTTTAACCAACCATTTAGACCTTTCTTTAACAATAGATTCCTTGATAGATTTTGCAGTGCAAGTCTACCCTTCAAGAAGCTGACATATTTGCAAGATGTAAGGTTTTACAACCCTGGACACTGAGACATTTCCTGAGAATGTTCAACAAGCAAAAAACCATACCAGAACAATTTCCTGTCCCCTGAGGCTTGCAAATGTAATGCTATTGCAAAAGCTACTATTCTTGAAATACAGGACTACTGCCCTTAGAAGGGAGAATACCAACCAATAATATAGGACTCGAAACCATTCAGCTGAAAATTTGGATTTTTAAAATCCAAAGAAAGTTTACAAATAGTTTATGATATGCAGAGACTTTGTAAACACTTAAACAAGAGCATAGTAACTGTCTACAAACTTCAGTTAAAGATTTCTGTTCATACACAGGTCTCATCCCCCACATAACGAAATCTGTCAATTACTCAATGTACTGTGGTAGCCTGTGAATTTGAGGACAATTCTAAAGGAGCAGAAAAAACATATTACAGAGAAGCAAAGGAAGTAAAAGAGCATAAGAGACACTTTTAAAAAGAATGTTGTTACATCCTAAGGAAGGAAAAATTCTTCAGATCTAAAATACTTTCGAAATCAAAATAGATCGCTTTAGTCCCAAGTACATTTTACAAATGACATGATTGTTAATCAACCATTTCCTGTTTATAGGTCATGTAGATGATGCAAACATGAGATGTATTGTGGTTTAAACTCACGTTTCTGTCACAGTGAAAGCAATTATTACTTTATTGACACCAATACAATATTTTTTTAATTCTTGGCGCCAAAACCTGCATGTGGAAGAGCATATGCACATTCATATATGTGCATATTGAAAATACCACAGTGCAGTTGATGCATATTTAAAGACAACCAAGGAATGGGACAATTCCATGGAATTTAGCTACAGGTTACAATTAAAGTTGCAAATGATACAATTCTGTATTAATTTTCCTGAAACTGTTTCCCATTATATTACTGTATGTTTCTTGCAATGATAAAAATAATGCTAAGCAAATGAAAAGTTTAGTAAAATAAGTTTAAAACAGGATATGACTGATGACTGGGACTCACCTCTCTGAGCTTTGTCAATTTCTGCATTCGAACTGGTTGAACTTGGATTTGAAGGTCTTTGAATGCTTTTAACTGATTGCTGGATTTGTTACCAACAGCAAAGTTTTTATCTTCCTCAGATGGTAATTTTAAAGGTGTTTTATCTTTCTGTCCAGGCTCCAAGCTATCCCATGATACAGCCCGTAGTAGAGGGGGACGAAGACCACACATTTTAAATTCTGGTTTAAATGAAACTTTATGGTCCCTCATTTCTTGAAAAGGGATTTTTAGCTTTGAGTCTATATTTCCTGATGTTGGTAGATGGGTTCTTAGAGGAACATCATTTTCTTTTGCTTTCTTGAGGAACGATTTTCCGAGTTCATTTTCACAAACATTCATGTAAGAATTAAGAGACATTCTGCCACCATCACCACCTGAAGGGGAGCATTTAGGTAAAGTATCCATGTGTTTACGCGGATCAAAGTTTTCTTTTTGTTCTGAGAGCTTCTCTTTGGAGTTTTCAAAACCAGCAGAACGAGGAACCAACCTTCCCTGAGAAATCTTTCTTTGATCATTCTGCCTTCGATCAACTAGTCCTTTTGCAGCATTCTGAAAGCAGAGGGACACACATAAAACAGAGAAACAAGTGCAGATTTCTCTTTTCTCTGCCCAAGGGTAGAATTTCACTGTACAAAGCCATTACTTTTTCAGTGACATTTGCTTTTAAACATGTGCTGCTGATGAGAGAAATGATTTTTAAAATGCACTTGACAGAACACTGAATTGGGAATCTCTTTTCTGAACTTTTGAGAGAACGTCCTCCTATCCTAGAATCCATTACAGCAATGTATCAATCTTCATATAGACAAGTCTCTCATCATCTTAATGTAAAGTTGTCTGAGCACATGCCTTTAAGGCTGTATCTTATAGCTCTGTTACTTTCCTTTGATTGTTTTCCGTTAGTTCCTTACCTCCCAAGGGAAAAAAAAGCATGGACTTGTACGCTATTGTCATTTCTCTCCTTGTGTGCAGTACCACAGATTATAATTTGGCTGCAATCTGCACAGAACAGCTGGCAAAAGAATGTTTGCCTATACCTTGGCTACTTTGGTACAGAATCTGTATTTTGCCTAAGGGCACCTGTGTGAGCAATTTAAGGCAACCAACATAAAACCTAACTGTGGTCTCTGCCTTGGATATGTTGCTACTCTCCCATCCTTTATAGTTGCTGCCCCAAAATTCTGCTGCCTAACCCACTCACAGCAACATCTTTTTAGAGTGCCATCTGATATTACTTAAAACAAATTAGGAAACATGCATATAAAATGCTTCACCAGTAGTTGTGTGGAGCAGTAACATCCCATCAGAGGTACAGAGCATGAGCTACAGTAACCTCTTCTACTGAATCAAAGGAAGACGATGTCTGTTTAAAACACCAGAATAAACTGAAATAGCTACAGTAGGTACTTCAAACTTACTTATAAAGTTAGTATATTGATTTTAATAGAGCTAAAGCAAAGTGCATGATAGGATGCAAAGGCTTACTTAAGTCCACTGCTACATTTTCAGGTGCAAATGAGCGGCATAATTTTTCTTTTCACTCAGCAAACAGTCTTTTAGCCTTCTTAGTCGCACAAATAAATCATAGATGTCAAGACAAACACATGAATTTTGTTCAAAGCAATGTGAAACACTTACCTCTACAGTTTGCCTGTCATTCTCTTTCATAGTTCTGTTATTCTAGCAAAATAAGAAAGAAAAAACTTGCTTAACAAGGTTATCTTTCACATCTATGCTGTAAATGTTAGCTATAGATATTAATAGATTAACTTTGAATTTTTTAACTTTTACACTTGTTGCATTTATTTATGAAGTATTTATTTATTATGTCATTTTAGTGGTTAGTTTTTTTCCATGGATTAGAGTTATATTGGATCTTTTCCCATTTTCTACAGTTAAAATATCTCTGTGGTCCTTCTGTGCTTATTACCTCATGGATTTTTGTCTTTAGAATACACATTTATTAGTTCCTCACTCAGCAGAAAAAGAAACATATTAGTAATACAGTCTTGGTATATAAAATGGTATTCAAACCATTCCATGTTCCTCAGGGACAAGCATAGTGTAATGTAGTACTGTAATAACCAGGTTACTGTACAAACTATTCAGCTCTTTCTTACCTGCCCTGGACATACTGTCTCAACACAAGTGGTTGTGCATCCATCAGACCCTATAGAGACATACATATAATTAGGGCACATGCTAATTTGCCCAAAATTTTTACTACTACAGCATTATCAAACACACAGATATACAGATCCACATAATATATTAAGAAAAAATTTAAATGTGGAAAATATTATTCAAAAGGGGGGATAATATCTAAAAGATAGTAAGTGAAAAATCATTAAAGCTTCTCAAAACTCCATTATTGAAAAGAATTAAAAAACAGAAGGTGTAATCTAGCAGCACCACAGAAGTAAAAATACAATACAATTGAATACTTATGTAAAAATATATATGTGGGCATTCATGAGCTTTGCCATATTCAGGAGGAGATCCTTGAATCTACCGATTTTGACTTCCCAAGGAGTATTTAAAAATACATTTTTTCTGAGTTTTTAAGTTAAAGTTTGAGCCTGCATAGATCATTTTACCTGATGGAACTGGAAGAGTGAGAGAGTTGCTCCGAGATGCTACTGGTGAAACTTTAGGACTAAGTGTAGGGGAAACTGCTTCATTAAAACAAAGACAAAAACACAACAATTTTACTTTCCAAGTTTCTACTTTTTGAGTTTTCAAAATTCAGTTCAGATTAAAACATGAATCACATTGTCATCAGTCGTGTGTTTGTCCAGAACCTGACAAGTCATTTTAATTGAGATTCCATTGGTGTACAGAATCATAGAATCATAGAATATTTAGGATTGGAAAGGACCTTAAGATCATCAAGTTCCAACCCCCCTGCCATGGGCAGGGACACCTCGCTCTAAACCATCTCACCCAAGGCCTCGTCCAACCTGGCCTTGAACACTGCCACGGATGGAGCATTCACAACCTCCTTGGGCAACCCATTCCAGTGCCTCACCACCCTAACAGGAAAGAATTTCGTCCTTATATCCAATATAAGCTTCCCCTGTTTAAGTTCTTATTCTCCTCACTTTTCTGACGGAAGTTCTGCAGAGAAGTACATACAAGAGAAGGATTCACAAGAAGTTTAGAAAAAAGAAAAAGCGAAATTTAGCTTGAAGTTTCTTTCTTTCTTTCTTTCTTTCTTTCTTTCTTTCTTTCTTTCTTTCTTTCTTTCTTTCTTTCTTTCTTTCTTTCTTTCTTTCTTTCTTTCTTTCTTTCTTTCTTTCTTTCTTTCTTTCTTTCTTTCCTTTCTTTCCTTTCTTTCCTTTCTTTCCTTTCTTTCCTTTCTTTCCTTTCTTTCCTTTCTTCCTTTCTTCCTTTCTTCCTTTCTTCCTTTCTTTCCCCCCCCTCCAGAAAGCATCAAGTGATTTTAAGACAGAACTTTGTTTTGAAATGGTATTTCAAAGCTAAATGGAAGTCCTACTCCATGATAAAATTGCATTTCCTCCTAGTTTTCAAGCAATTCATATGAGGGGAAAAATCATTTTGATTGACATTCTAGAACAAAACATTTTCTTCTGCTGTTTTTAAAGGAGGATTTGATCCATTTAGTTTAGTTTATGAATACGCTCAGAATACAAGTCTGTGTAATTATGTCTGGGAAAGTTTTCTTCAGCAGTATAAATCTTGCCATTTAAATATAATTTTATATGCAATAGGAACTTTAGGATGAAAATCTTCACGAACAAGAACTTATGACCATTTTTCACATTTCAACAGAAATACTGCATGCATTCCCATTACAGTGTCTGCAGTGTGTCATTTGGACATTTAAAAACTTTACACGGTCTTCCACTGTTACATCTGAATATAGAGATTGGTCAGTTCTATTTTATATGGAATTGTGAGGAGGGGCAGAGGGATTTTGACCTTAAAATCAACAAAGTGTATGTACACAGTATCAGTGTATGTATTACAGATGCTTGTTTCTGCCTTTGAGGATCTCTAAAGTAGAACGTGAGATCTTGTCTTCAGAATCTGCACCTACCTGTGGGTGACTCAGGAAGGCTGCTTCTTGACTTTCTGCCTCTGCGCATGAGAAACCTCTCACTCACTTTCTTTGCTTCTTCTAGTAATTCAAGGTTCTTCTTTTTATCTTCCTCTGATATTTTTACATCAGGTAACTGATCGTTTACCAGGTCAATCACATGACCGCTGTTGTCTGGTTTGAAACATCAGAATAAAAACATTGTGATACATTGTGGCATTTTGGACTAACAACTATGAAACAAATCTACATATCTTTGAGCTTGCATTTCACAAGAATTAATCTCTGCTCATTTCTAATATTTTTATATTCCCAAGTTTAGAGTAAGTCCTCAAAAACCACTGGTAACTCACAAAGATTAAGTCACTACGACCAAAGATGCTCTGATACGTGAAGCTGGCTTTTCTGGCTGTGTCCCTAATAAAGTTTTTCTAATTTATCAATAAAAGCATAAAAGATTCATCTGAGCTAGCAGTCACAGCATTTCTGCCAGAGATCCAGTTTTTGCATGGATTTTGTTTGTCATTTTTTAAGGCTGAGGTCCTACAAACTCACTTTGCAATTAGTTTTAACATAGAGGTGATGGCATCAAATAATCTGTAAAATCAAGTGAAGAGTTTGAAAGTACAAAGATTTTATTCCATGCAGATAGAAGAGCTTTTCACACAGATGCAAGAAGCAACAGTAATGTTGCATCTGGCAAAGCTGTAGGCAGAAGTTGAATAGCTAAATCATAAGAAATGTAAAGCTATGTCAAAAGCTAATTAATCTTTACCATGTGGGGGACATGCAAGAATTTTCCAAAGGAATTGCACATCCCATTAGAACATCCAATGGTTAAGGACTGTTAAAGATTACTTGTCCTCATGCCTACTTATGTTGATATTTTCAATATGTAACCCAGGAGAATACATGGACCACAAACTGAAAGCCACTGCCTTACACTTAGACCATTAGATTAATACATTATTTTCTGAACAATTTTTATTTAGTTGTAAGAAGAACCCCCTAATTCCTGGCTTCCAGATTGGTTGAAAACACTAAATTAGACACACTGATTTTTACAGTTCTCCAGACTATGATTACGCAAAGGGTTTTCAGGGGCTGATAAACTCTACAGACTAACAAGCTTGTTGGATCTGCTAGAATTGATAAATAGATGACCAAGAGTCTGCTCAATCCATTCAAGGCCACTGACACACGCTAGCATCAACAACAGACTGCAAGTCAGATGTTTATTCTCAGGTAACTATGAGAAAATCTGTGAATTGTATGAGTGAATCTGGATTGTGTGAAGAGTTATCTGGTATTAATAACAACTTGATCACATTAACAACAGCTTTGTGAAAAAAAGAAAGATCAGTTGTGACTGTCTCCTCACAGTGAGATGCCTCTATTGGGAAGGAGGGAATTTCTAACACTATTTCACAATAAGAAGAACCTAACTAAAGAACAGCTTGGGTGAGGGGATGGGAAGTCATCAGGTAATACAAGAAAAATATTTTTTGATTTAAGATTGATTACAGAACAATCAGTCCTCAGAAAAGCTAAGGACATAAGTAAACAGCAAAAAGTCAAGGGGTTTTGGTTTGGAGACAGGAGGTTTTTTGGAGGTTGCTTCTAATTTCCATAAATTTATTCAAATTTCAAGGCTGTCAAAAAGCATGCCCATATGAAGGATACTCTTAAAGCAATCTATTTTTAATGAAATATCTGTCTTCTTTTACACTAAGATCTGTGTGTTGAAAATTTGAGAGAAGGACTTCCCATGCCACTTTCCTTGGGCCAGAAAAAGAGGAAAGCTGCAAGGTGTGGTAATTTCTATCCTCCTTAAGCAGATATGTTTTCCTCACTATACTCAACATCTTGCCTATTTATACTTGCCTTGCCTTCTGCCCCTTCACCACAATACTGTTTCCCTTCCCTTTTGCTGCCTTTTTCTCTTTTCCCCATCAAATTCCCTTTAATTTCTCCTCCTGTTTCCCATCTCATCATCTAGTTACAAATGACAAGTGTTCAAAGAATAGCTTACTGATTATTTCAGGTCTGCAAGTTTATGATTTTGTACATGTCCATGAAATTACATTTCTTTCAGGCAAGACAGACATCCTCTGAGAAGATTCAATTAGAAAATGCCTAACTTTGAAAAGCAACATCTTGAATCATAGAGTAATGCACGTTGGAAAGGATTACTGGGGGTTATCTAGTCCAACCAGTTCAAAGCAGAATGGTGCAATCAGACCAGGTTGCTGGTCTTTCGGGACAATCTGGTCTTCAAAAACCTCTAGGGATTGAGATTCAAAACCTGTCTGGGCAGATTGTTCCAATGCTTGACTCTGTAGTGAGTGAAAAGTTGTTATTTATACATACAGCATACAGCAGTGATAATGGCTCGCATCAGATTACTTGCTGAGAGAAAGTAACATTGTTTGAAAGATAAAAAGAATTTTAAAAATTTATTGTGTATTTCTGATTTCCCCTTCAGTCCATCCTGTATTGGTAGGAGCTCTCATATCCTTATTCCTTCATCCTTTATATGTGATAGAATAAACATTCCATCGACTCTGTTCAACTTCTACTTTACGTTAAATACATAAATGGAGACAAGTAACACTCCAAATGCAAACATACCAAGACTAAGAACTAATGGGAACTCTGCCACTCACTTAACAGGATAAACTTTTATCTCAGTTTGTAGTACGCACAGATCTACATCCACATTAGTCCCCTTGAATAACAATTTACTCCACAGGTAGCTACCAGAAAACTAATACAACTAAATACTTGCTAAGAGATTAATTAGAAAGTGAAGAATTGAAGAAAATCTTTCCCTGGATAGCCTGATTTCATTTGAAGTTAAATCCAAACTACATAACTGGAGACATAACTGTCTTTTAAGGTCCCTGCTAATAAAATCCCAGTTGCTCAAAAATAACAAAACCAGTCTTATTAAACAGTATTTTGCATACAACAAGAATTTTAAGCATGTAGATCTCCAACCTTCTAAAATTGTTAAGCTAACACGCTAACCTAACAACTTTATGAAACCAACAATATGCATATTTCCCTAGTTCTGTCTGCAGTAAATCCACTATAGTAAATTAATTATCACAACTCAACATGCTAGCAGTATTCCCTCCCTGTGTATGCATTACAGTCGGTATGCACAGGAAAAAGGCTGTAGCCAATACAGTCAGACACTATATTTAGGCCTTTTTTTGCACATCACATTTTCTGAGAAAACATCCTAGCTTAAATGAATTACTTCTTACCCACAGAAGTCAATGAACTTGTTGGATTCCTAGTGGCACGGTTAGAATGTCTCCTATGAGGACTATGAGGCCTAGAGAAAAAAATGAACAAACAAAATTATGAGAGTATGCCACCAAAACCCATTCTACTTCTCTATAAAAAAAAAGAGTATCATTAAAAAGAAAGCACTTTGATTAAAAAAATATTAAAACTAAAAGAATTTATTGTAATTCCTCTCATATCCAAACAACTGGAAAATGGAGGAAGACTGCGGAAAGAAGGAAACTTATAGAACTTGCTCTCACAAAGGAGTTCTGATAAACTCATACACTGCGAAATTTTGATTTCTCAAAAAACCCTGCATTTCTTTAGTTCATTATCATTAGTTAAAATTCATGTAAATATAGTACATTAAAAAAAAAAAAGGCTTTGTAAATTTTTAGTGCTTCCTAAACTACATTTTATGACTGCAAGAATTTCTTTTGCTCCCACAATGGCAATCCTATATAGCAATCTAGGAACTTTCTAGATTGAAAACCAGGTGAAGGTCTCAAATGACTGCAGAAAATTAAATGCTGATCCAGAAAATAATGCTGCTTTTAAATGGCTGCATTGTAACGTTGACTGTTAAATAATCTTGCGATTTCGTGTAGTACACTTTAAAAATAAAAGGAAATTATAGTACAGATTTATGATCAATACTTTCTGATCAATTTCCCCCCATATTTTAAGTCTAATGGCAGGTCAATAATTCAAGAATCCCAGTCAGGAAGTATGCTTTATCAGAAGACTGAAAATAACCTTAAAACAACTCAAAATTTAATTGAAGTTTTAAACTTCAAACAGAATTATTATTTCCATTCATCAGCTTATTTTCACATATGCTTAACCTCAAGGTGGTGTTCCTGCCCTGTCTGCCTGAACAGGCTCAAATATCTGCTTTAAAATGTACTGTACTATAATACTCAAGCTAGACATTTAAGTTGTCCAGCAGCCTAGCTCAGAGACATTATCTTCTTGAATCTTCAGCTGATACTTGTTTTCTTTCACATGATCAGGAATGTGGTCCTATCCCAGTTTCCAGGTGCTGCAGAAGGCTTTTTTGCAGCTTCACTAAAGCAGTAAGGAGGACTGAACAGATACAAGAGAGGAAGGAAAGAAGAGAGCTAGAAAAGAAGCCTACAGTTGTTGCACCTGGTTTTTAGATAGGAAAAAAAAAATAGCCCAGTAATTCATTTTCCAATGCTTTTAATTCAGGACTTTAAAAGAAGTGAGCAACCTTAACTGGCTTTAGAAGAAAAAATTAGAAGATGCTGGCTAATAATACTGTGGTACTCTAATATCTCAGAATGTTATCCTATGAAACAGTTAGTCAGCAATGTCAGTCTACATTCAAAGCCAGGCTGGATGGAGTTCTAGTCAACTTGATGTAGTTGAAGGTATTCCTGCTCATTGCAGGGGGGTTGGACTGGATGAACTTTGAAGGTCCCTTCAAACCAAATTATTCTATGACTCTATTATAATATATAATAACAGTAGCTTCACCAACATTACCTTAAGTTATATAAAACAGTATGTGTTCTAAGTCAATACCAAGATAATATCCACAAGACTGACAGGAAGGTACATTTTTTTCGAAAGATATATGTAATATGCTAAACCTGTCAAAAGAAGAAGATTTTCAGCAGTTCATAAAACTATAAAATGCCAAGTGCAAAAAATAAAATACTTGCAAAAACTGTTAGTAAAAATTGCAGCTTATGATCATAAGCCTTCCTTAGAAATTTTCTGCCCTCAAAAATAAACCTTATTGTACAAACTGTATTACATTGCAAGCTTATCTTTTGCCAAAACCATTCCTTCTTCATTAAAACACACTTCAGTTGATCATGAAAACAGATTGTTTTTAGGAATAACACAGCAAACAGCAGTTTGTTGCTGCATTTTCCTTTCAATAGACAAAAAAATTTCAACAGATAGCAAATATTATTGCTACAATGTCTATTTTTCAGTATGATACTAAAAATATTGTCATACAATGGTAATACAACTTCCTTAATCCAAGAAGGAACCAGACAACACAGACTCTGTATGTAAGATACACTCATTTGTGAGAGTCAACACTGATGGCTGACCACACCTTAAGGAACTTCAGTATCTTCATTATCTTCAGTACTTGAAAAACAGTAGATTTTTTAAGTCTTATAATGATCAATTGCCTAAATCTCCATAAGTCTACAAAGATCTTATTGGTTCAGTGGAAATGTTTATATGAGTAAAGGCAGCACTACTGGTGTACCTATATAATTAGTAGACCAGAATTAGGATTTAGCTACTGGAGTGAAAAATTCCCACAGTGGGGAATACTTCAGGAAGCATAAAAATGCTCAGTTGTACTTGTTTTGGTCCCAGTTGCTCACTGACTGGATCTAAGTAAAGGTTCAAATGGACAGAAGGACAGTATTGCTCATTACCACACACAGAACAGGAGGAATCAAACTGTCAGTCATCCCTGTAGTAGGTGTAGTATTGTAGCGCACATGCATATCACTGTATGTCTACAAAAGGATTTGACCAAACAATTTTCCCCTCATCAGGCTATATTCTATTTGCTACCAAGAGGTTGGACTTCAAAAGTTACAGCTTTTGGTCCAAATTACACAAAATTTTAATTTAAATTTTTGCTTTAGTTTCAAATTATGCTATTCTGAAAGATAGGAAAATACATGTAAATTTAAAGTATACTGAGTCAGGGTGGTAGGCTTCATATTATATGAAACTCTACTCTTTTAGTATCAGTAATATCCCTGCTCCTTCCCCCTTTCCTGCATCAAAAAAAAAAAAAAAATCATCAAAATGCAAAGGCAATATGATAAAATTACAAATAGAGATACAGTGATAATGTTTTATTAGACTATACACTTCAAAGAATATTTTAGAAACACAAGTCATGCATAGTTCAGTAATGTATTACACAGTACCTGTTAATCAGATTTTTATCAATTTCCATGTCTGGTGCTACAGCATTCTCTGGAAGAACAATGGAAGGTGTACTGCACACTGACCCTTCAACGATAGTGTCCTGGATGGTTTGTGACAAATACAAAAATGCAGTTAAAGGGAAATTTAAAATACATAGTCAAAAATATTACTTGTACTGCATGTGCTACATTCAGATTCACCAAAAAAAATAAAAAATCAACCTGCACTGCTGAAAGGCTACAGAAGCAATCTGGTGTTTACAGTTAATCAAGCTGTTGAAAAACGATGCACATAAAATCATGCAGAGAGGGCAGGTACCTGTTAGAAGCTGCAATTTTTATTTTATGTTCCAATCATGAGATAAGTAGAACATGCCATAGTACTGTGAGTATTTATAGCTGGAGGGAAAGATTCCCAAAAGTGCCAGGGGTCTGTCATCAACCAACTTGTAAAATTTACAGAATAACTTCTAAATTCTTCAATACCAATTGCTCCTGGTAGGCACTTGTGTATACAAGTATTTTATTTTATTTTATTTTATTATTTAAATTTCAGTTTTTCTTGAACTAGCATCCCAGTTTCATAAGAAATTTTTACTTCAGTGGGCATTGTATTAGATTACAGAACAGAACATTTTAAGTTGGAAGAACCCACCATGATCATCTAGGCCAAACTCCCTGACCACTTCAGGGCTAACCAAATGTTAAAGTACGGTATTAAGGGTTTTGTTCAAATGCCTCCTAAACACTGACAGGCCTAGGGCATGAACTACTCAAGGAAGTGATGCTTCTGATTTTCTAAAAGAGCATGTTTGTTATCCATGACAAAAAGCCAATTACCTTCAACTGTTAATTTTGTTTTTATTGATAGAACATTTGCTGTTCTATTCTGCTTACTCCTTTTAAGGATGTTTAACCTGCTAGAAGTTGACACAAGTGTAATGAATTCAGAATAGCATTTATTTTACTAATATTAAGCAGGCAGGTAATAAAGCTGTTATAAGCACTACTTTAGGCATTTACAGAATGAAGCATATAAAATGGCTCACAGTTTCAGAAGTTAACATTTTAGAACAGAGAAAATTAAATAATTTCAGTTATTTGAAACAAAAACTATCAATGAATATTTCAGTCAACTACTGTCATGTGGAGAAATTAGCATAGTCATAAGGTTTGTCATAATGAACAAGTAGCCAAGACTAGAAACTGAAATGGAATTACATACACACAGAAAGCTAATGATTATGTGACTGCTAATATATATCAGATACAGTAGAACTCCTTTCACCATTGCAACCAGTGGTTCGTTTTATTCTTGTTGAAATAATTTTCTGGTAACATTGAAGAACTAGAGAAGCATTTTGAAAGTGATATAATATTAAAGTATATAACATAACCCTTCTTCCTCTCAAAGGCAATAAAATATGCTTTGCTTGGACAGCTCCACACGTCTATGCTCATAATTCTCATATGACATTCCTTGGCAAGTGCAGGTTATCAGTCATGAGAGAACAATTGGAAATATGCCAAGAAAACAATAACAAGATTAACTTCAAGGAAAATATCCTTGCAATATTGGAAATGCTGGAATGTAAAAGCATGATATGTGATTCAAGTTCACAGCTCACATTGTATGATAATAGTTTGGAAGCAATCTTTAGTAATATTATTGAAAGTGGTACTAAGTAACAATGTATTTTGCCTAACAGTCAATGACAAAAATTCAGGTGACTGCCCAGCTTGTGGGGCAAAGCAGCTGAGTACACATGCACATTGATACTAATCTCATGATTACCAACAAGCAAAAGCTTTTGAATGATGTAACATTAGCTTTAAAGCCACCCAAGTCCATTTTAGGGCTCTAAAACCAGCCTATTAAAAAGAACAAAAAACAAACAAAAAAAAACCCAAGAAAATTGCTGTAGTCGAGGCTAGTTCAGGTCAGGTAGAATACAGTATTAACCTCTGTCAACAGCTACAGCAGTTGAGCTTCTAGGTGAAGACACATGCCTCCCACTGTCCAGACCTACCATACATTTGCATAGAAGTGGGGCAGGAAGAGCTAGAGCATGAAGCTCTTTGAAGGGCCAGCTGGTTTGAATCAAGAGATATCTTTATACTCTGAAGAGTACTCAGAAGATTACTATATACAGATATTGGAGGAGAAGCTTTAACAGGAAGCTTAAGCTGTCTCACAGCTTAGAGTTGTACATCTACACAAAGATGATACAGAAGTTTTCCATAACCCTCCCACTGACTGCCTGCTACCAAGTTTTTGCTTCCTTTTTGTCCCAATCCCTTGCTTCCATAAAAATGTAGGGTAAAACTGACTCTACCTCTATCACTTTGGTGGAAACTGATCCACATGCTCTACAAGGATGATCACGTGGCATCTAGTCTATCAGGGAGTCTTTTGCAGGGCTGAGAGGATGGCAAAAGCAGTATGGCCCATAGAAGATCCAAGATTCCAGCTATTAAGTTCTACCAAGCCCTCATTAAGCACACATGAAATGCATTTATGCATTTTTAGGTGTTTTATAATCCATCCAAATTTGGCTGGATTTGAATGGTGGGAAAAAAAAAAAAAATCTCTGCTGAAAGAGCTACTCTGCCAGGCCAGTCAGATGAGAAAACTTTCCTGGAACACCACCTCAGTTCTTTAAAGCACTGAGGAAAAAAAAATAAGATAATAATAATAAGAAAACGCTCTGCCAGCTGGCCAGATTCTGAGAAATTAATTAAAGGTCTCAACTGAATTTGAACAAATTTGGCCTGAAACAGGCACTTATTTGAAAGGCCTCAGAAAAGTTATGTATCTCAGAAAGCAGTCTTTTAAATGAGATGGGGTTTTAAATAACTTTAATTTTAGATCTTCCCATCATGTAAAAGATACTTGAAGTAAACAAGAAACTATATGTGATGTAAAGTTCATTTTCCTTTTCTCAGAACTGTTTTGTGAATGTGTGTGCATTTGTGCATGCAGGGAAAAGGTGGGGAAGTATCTCCTGAAATAGAATGAGGAAATTGTTAGATACCAGACACCACTTTAGATAAGATGAGATTCCAGACTTGGAAAGTTTTGTTTAATGCAGAAAACAAGTTCACCAGTTGTGTGTGCCCTCTGATGACCTCTTCTTGCTTGCAAGTCCTTATCGCACGATGATAAGCTATTTTCCTTATTATATAGCCATGCTGTACAACTTGGACTGCAGGAAGACCCAAGAGTGATAAAATGTATGAACAAGATGGAATTCTTCACAGCGTTGACTAGTTGCAATCCTTAAGTAGGCTCATGAACAGCCTGTTGGTTACAATTCTTTCACTGTTACTTTGTGCCTAAAATCCCAATTTATCTACAAAGAAGCATTTTGCACAGTTAACTGATTCATGAACTATCACATTATCGCAGTTCATTTAAGACCTATCTCTAAAAGGCTTGCATAATGTATTTTTATATATATATATTAGATTAGGTGGTTGGAATTTTTCATGTCTCCCATTTGACAAGCACACTCAGCCTTAGATTCACTGATGTCTGCTAGCCTTTCACATTTTTTTCTCTTTGGGTATATCTGACCCAGCAAGCCTTTTCTACCAAAATACTCTTCACACGGGTGAGTTAAAAAAAAAGGGAGGGAAAGGAAAAAAAAAACCCTTAAAATCTTCTTGACCTAATATATGTTCTCAGCTAATACTCTAATTAACTTGCATGTATCTGGGGTGTTTATCTGAAGCCAGAAAACTAATACTCAGCACAATGTGCAATTTAGATGGAATGCATGACAAATCAGTGTAAGGCTCACTGCTGACAATATTTTCCAACAATGTTAAAGTAGCGGATGTTTTCACCCAAAATGTAGAATATAGTGTCCTCAGTGACAGTCATACATTTTGAATTGAGGATGTGCCAGATTATAAATCCTTTCTTTCTTTATACCAGTATGCATTAAACAGGATGATCCGTACAACCAGTGATGTTGTAATCACAGTAAGGTTCTTTACTTCACCTAATCTAACAATTAAAAAAAACCCCTCACTTTATTAGAACACAAAATTACTTTTTAGAAGTGGTGTGAATTACTCAAAATGGAGAATGATACTGTTTTATTGATTTTTTTAAAAATTGCCTGCAAATAAAACATGTAAAAACATGTAAATGCCACAAATTCTATTAGCAAATCTGGGGAGCACCCACTTGCTCTCTGTGTAGATCCAGTATATGTTCAGCTACTGCTGTGGCAAATAAAGCACAGAGAAAGACTAGAAACCAAAAAAGCAGATTCCCATCTTTCATACATACATGAATTGCATAGCATCTTCTAAATCTGTAAAGGCAACGCTAGATGTTTCAAGACTACTGTGAAGTACAAGTCTAAGTTCTTTTCTCAGAGGTTTAAGTTTTCTGTAATAGCACCACAATGGACATTTTTCACATATAACTGGTTCAGAACAGCCAGCCATATAATTCTCTAGATCAAGTTGATAAACAAATGCTTGAGCAACTTCAGTTCACATTCCTCAGTCTGTAAAATATTTGAAGAATTCTAAGAATATCAACTGAAAGGTCATTCATAGCTTCATCAATTAATCAAAACATACTAATACATAGCAATGATTAGATTTTATTTTATGCATTCCTAAATACGCACAGAGGTTTCAATCTCCAGTTTCTAAGAACTGTCAGAAAACACCATTGTAAGAATGCTTACTTTGGCTGGAGGAGAGATGTTGTGTTGTGCCTCTTCTGATTGTCCCTTGTCTTCAGGTAAGGTTGGCATGGTGGGCAGTGTGAAGCACGTGGAACTGCAAGGTGGACTAACAGGACCATGCACTGCTGAGAATATTTGGTTCCAGTTAGCCTGAAGGCATTAGTGCTGAGGCCTCGCGATCTGCAGGCTGTGTGAGATGCCAAAAAAACCAAATAAAATCTGTTTAAAACTCTATATCCACTGAGATCACTTACAATAACAAACAGTATTGAAGTTTAAAATTAAAAATGCTATATTGTGGTTTATTAGCTAAAGCTTTCAAGGTCAAGTATAACTTAGTAAAAATATTCAAAATGGATAACCTTCCATTTTGACACTATTTCCATCTCTTTCCCCTATTTTACAAATTCTTCTTCTTTTTTTTTCTTTTTTTTTTTTTTTTTTTTTTTGTTACTATGACTGTTTTGCCTGTGATCAAACTACCTCTAAGAATCCTTTAAGAGGGAAATAGCATCCCGGATATGTAAGATGCCTTTTAGTAACCAGCAAAGTCCTAATGCGACAGAGCATGAGCTCAGATATCAAAGAAAGAAGTAAAACCGGAAACCCAGATGGTGACACTCTTCCTTTAAGCAAGCTCAAGGCCTAAGTGAATTGTACAAAGACTTGGTGTGCACCTGCAGAAGACAATGCTGCGCCAGGCATTTCACAGGCAAAAATGCTGTAATGCCCAAATAAAAAAATAAATAATAATTAAAAAAATCACTGCCCACTATCTGAGAAGATTCTTGTTATTATCTATGGGAGCTACTGCCTTCACAAGGATATTGTTAGCATTAAAGCCTGTACAGTAACCTGAGACGAGAAATTTTAAGTACTAATCCTTGTAGCTACAGCGTTATGTTTTACAAGACTTACTGTGACACCTACCGGCTAGTTAAGGAACAGCTCCCATAATCGATTCCTTGGTAGTGCCTACAGATGACAGACGACGCTGTTGAGACAATCTGGTGCACTGTCTGGACTACTAAAAGCTAACTATATTTCCTTTACAGTTAATCCACAGCTGTGTACAGAATGGAGCTATACACTCAAACAATAACAGAACAACTTTAATAGTAACTCTTTAATAAGAGTTCAGCTTCCAAAACGTGTTATGTTCTCCCAGATCTGTATTACGAATCTCCTCTCGATTCTTTTACTTTTCTGGAAACCAAGATAATTGGAACAAGGAGTTTCAGATGAAGACACGATTTGATGTTCAAGGCACTTAGCAGCATTGCAAGATTAACCTTCTAGAGTTTTCCTTTCAATTTCAGGAAAGGGCAAAGAAATGTATTCATAATGTATTCAGGAACACGTCAGTTTATTGAAACTGACAAAACTGTCAAAATACTTACGTTGATTTAAAAACAAATAAAACAACACCAACCAGAAAGAGAAAAACCCATTAACAGGAAATACTAAAACAGCCTCAGTAATGACAAGTTTTTCACCTCAGCTTTCACAGAAAAAATTTGGTGGTGTAAAACCTGCAGAAAGCATGAAAATTTTGGACTACAGAAGCAACTAAGACCCATGCTTTTATTAGATTTATTTCACATTATATTAGAAACAGAATTTTCTCTTTTACTAGAAGAGGAATACAGGGCCACCTCACATGAAATTCAATGTAGAACTATTTGACTGTAGAAATAATCTCTACACAAGTATTAGTGTGTTCAGGAAAAAAATAGTTTAATTAAAGTTCTTTGATAAAGACTGTGGAAAAGATCTAGCATATATGATATCATTCTGAAGACCAGGACATAAACTTAGTTTTAAACAGTGAGTATAATCTTTTTCAGAGCAGTATATGCTGTAGGAACAGCACGTTTCAAGCTTTTGTAGATATTTTGAACCAGTTACAGATGAATTTCTAGCTCTACCGCAATAAGTGGAAGATCGTGTTTGTATCATGATTTTACCATCTCTTACTTAATAATAAGAGTACAGGAAGCTTTATATAAATAAAAAGATTTTAAAATGTTTTTAAGGTGAAATATTTTTAAAGGCCCTAACATGATGGAAAACAGCCATTAATGATTACCTGTATTTTAATAAACTCATGGAGATGAGGCAGATAGCAGTAGCATTAAACATCTATGTGTTTCCACAGTTAAGTACTTTTGTATCAAACAACAATCACCAGCTATTAACAACACATGAAGACAAAAGAGAAGCAAGGTAGCTAAAAAAAGTTACATGGACTTCCTTTTCACCTCTGTAACAAAATCATGGCATCCTACATGCTTTTTGGGTCTGCAAGAACTTAAATTCAAACAAAAACAAAAAAGGGAAGATAGAAATATGTCTGTTTATCTAATCCCTCTTAGTGTTTGCCTTATGAAATTATACGGGTTCTGATAATCTTAATGAATGCTGGGCCTGAAAAATCAGGATTATCTCAAGTCATGACCAACGAGTGTATGCAGTCCTATGTGGAGCTGTATAAGCTGTTGCATCAAGGTAGTTTATTCCTAGTCTTAACTGAGTTCCTAGTGCATACTAAACTTAGAAAAAAAAAATAAAGAAAAAAAAGAAAAGAAACAAGAGCGAGCTATTAAGCCCATCATGTTTCAGGTCATTTTTCACATTTCAAAAGCAAAACAAAAAAACTAAAAGAAAAAGAAAATAATCAGCAGTCTTGTCTAAGAATAGAAAGGGACAAATCCCGAGCTATGTTGTCTTAGAGATGCAGCACAGAAAGTACAGCCAAGGGAGAACAGAGGGTAGAAAGATGAATTTATGCCACCTTAACAAGCCCCAGATTTGGAGTGGATGGAGTTCAGTCCATCTGTGACACAATTAGAACCTTTCTCTGATTTCCTTACAGAGTTATCTTGCAACTAGGAAAAAGCTCCATATCTTTGTGGTGCTGATCAGTAGGAAAATTTCTTCTAACTTTCCATTTTCCCTAACATCTCTCCAGATAACCCCAGTGCTGAGCACTCTACTGGAGCAGCAAAAAGGCTGCATACAGTTATTCATATTCTGAGGCTTCTTAAAACACATTCTGCCTTTGCACATGCTGACTGCACTGCTGCAGTCCTCTATGGTGCCAAAGCAAGGGTTAGTACTTATTGGTATCTCCACAAAATATGGAAGGGCATTGTTCTATTCATAAGCTATATAATTTATAACTCCTGAATTATTATTTTTCAATCTAAAAGCTTATTTTTCAACTGTGCAGTGTTCTTAAAATCAGTAGTCTTCCTGGTGCTTAACCAGCACAAACATCACATTTTGTAAATACAAGTGGAGATATTCAATGAAGCCACCTTCTTGAGCCATGCTGTGAGTTTTCAATGCAAGTAGTTTTGCTATTTTCCGAATCAATTACTGCCTTCTGATACTAGTAGGAAAGGTGAATATTTAGAAATGATAGATCCTTAAGATACTAGTGAATAAATGATCATCCATCACTGCTGAAGTGACCTTATTTCTATTTGATTGGGCAGTGACAATAGCCCCAGTAAATGTTGGTAAGAGTCAAAACATAAGAAAAGGGGGCTTCACGAGAACACTCTAACAAGAATTAGAGGAGCTTATCAGCATCTCACAAATGTGGGAAGAAAAGAAAGGAATGTCCTTAGAAAGTTTATTTCCTGGAAGGTGCATTTTTTACTTCTTCAGTAGAGATTTAGGGAGGACTACAGCCTTTGAACCTACAGAAATTCACACCTCTGTCTACAAATGCCATTTACAGCCTTACTGAACCCTGAATTAAAGTGCAAAGAGCATGACTATCCTGGTTCTAAGCCTGGCTCATCTGCCAGCTGAACAACCTTTGGACTCATACTACCATTAGCTTTGCCAGCTTTATCTCCCTTCCACAAGCATAAACATGTTTCAGCCAAAGAAGGAAATGATATGTTAACAATATATGCAATACAGTGAGAAACCAACTGAAACAACTGTAATTACTGTCCCTGAAGATACTCAAAGGATAAACAACAAAAAAAATACATCTGCACTTTAAAAACAGTCAAGATGTATAAGCAGATGTTAGCATCTAGTCACTAAGACAATTTCAAGATACTGTTATTTCTTTCATTAGGTATTGATCAAACACTGCCTGGCCTACTTTTAACCTACCAAAAGATGTTATGTTATTGTTGTAGTGATTTATCAGCTTAAATGTTTCCCTCACAAAAATTCTGGTATTTTAGAAGTTGCAAGAGTTTCAAAATTACCTTTTAAAATTAAATACTTGTAGAGATTATCTCACATGTCACAAGAAAAGCGGATGTGGGTAAAGATCTACAACCTTAGTCTGCACAAGCCATATGTACCTACAAAATGAGATTAAACCCCCCAAACAGCAAATTACCTATCCTATTCACCAAATTCTGTGTATTCCGACAATAAGATGAGACAATGTAATGAAAACAAAAGTAAAAAAAAAGAAAGAGGATGAAGTGCTTCTTAATGTTTTGCTCTGTTATTGTGAGCTTACTGCTTAAAATAGGAAAAAAAATGATCCCATGAGCTCAAATACATAGTCAGATATAGACCAGTGAATACAGAGAACTTTCTTTTACCACTGTGTAGGCTTAGAGTACAATCTCCAGGAAATGGTGATCAGGGAGCTCTATTCCATAAAAGGGAAAAGTATTTAGAGGCCCTTGGCTTTCAGTGTGTTCTCTATGCAACTCATTTTACCATAGTAGAGAAAGCTAATTGTAATCAGTTAACTTACCCTCTCTGAATCACCACCAAGCATCATGTTAGCAAAAGCTTAAAGGTGTTTTACCTCATATCCCCACTGGTAGCCTAGCAGTTAACCTCAAATGAGCTGCCATGCCACAACAAGGATATATAAAAAAAGGGAGAAACAAACAGTTAAGAGAGCATTTTATTAATATTTCTTGACCTCATACTGCGCCACGTCAAGTAAGGAAACTCTAATTTGTCAACAATGGGAGTTGCATACTCATGAACATAGCTGAACTGCACAATTCTGAGCTGCTTTTTATAACTTTTTTCTTTGTTGTCCTGCAAAGTGGTTGTAAAACATTGCTGTATTAAAAAGGTATCTTTTTGCACTCCTTTTGTATAGCTGTAAAAGTATATAGAATTCACATCGTATTTTGAATTAAGTTTTGCAGCTTTGAAGTACTTAAAAAAAAAACACACTAGCCTTAC